ATGATGTTTCCTATTCGACCTAAATGTATAAATACACATTATCTGAAACATTTTATGACCAGGACCAGGACACGGTCCCGGATTCCTAATCGGGGATCCTGATTCTCTTCTTGACTCAGATATCGTACTTTCTGGATGCTTGTGGAATACACATTCTACTTCATATCAAGTCTTCTTATTTTTACTCAGTATAAGGGTTGGGATAATCGGATTTGAGTAGTATGTCGTGTCACCGGATCCTCGCTCTCGTTTTCCGACTAGGTAAACTCGTAATAGTTCAAGTATATGAAGTTGACGTGTTTACGTGCAGGCATAACAATATAATTCTGATTCATTGTGCAGAACTCGGTTATTTTGACTTAGAATGCAGTTGTTAATTGTGAATCAGATAATTAAATTGTTTGTCATACGATCTGGCCTTCAATTTGATGGTCAAATCATATTTATCCAGCATTCTGGTAAATTATCTAAAAGGATGGGAAGTACAGGTGTTATAATTTCTTCCATCAGTTTACTAATGTTCTGAACATTTAAAGTAAAACAGACAAACATATTTAACCTCTGAAGTAAAGATAACTAATATTGAAACAATGAAATCATGGCTGAATCGTTGTTAGACCACCATTAAAAACCTGGAAGACTGAAGGTCCTGGGTTCGAATCCTGCGAGTGGCAGGAGTCGTGGGTGCGCACTGCCAATCATGAGTACCAAACGATGATGAAATGGCCTTCCAGTGCTCCTATTTTTCTAATAGTGGTTATCTAATAACGTAGAACTTTGTACGTACGTACTGACATTAGTTCAGGTTATCATATCACATAAGCACAGAAAAATGAGTTTGTCAGTCCAAATCCCATAGTGGTATAGGTTGTAGCAGTATTAGTAGTAATAGAGGGAGAGATTAGGGTTTGAATGTAAGATTTGAAAAGTATCAATCAGTGAGATAACTTTAGAAAGATAAAAATAGAGGTGATGAGGAATTCAGGTGATTAGAATTTGACGGAACACAAAGAATGTATACATCTGTGCCATTAGCAAACGATTATGAGCCATGTCATTCAAAGTCCCTAGCCACTGGTTACGACTGCCTCGTGGACTCCAACCACATGGTCTACACCTACTAATGTAGCTCAGTCCAACTGTCAATGACTTCATGGATTTCTACAATGTCTTGAAGATGCTGAATTTTACTTTCACGGTAAATTATAAAAAAAGTGTACACTTTTTATCAGTTGCCATTATGATTTATGAGTTAGTATTATAGTAAGATTTAAACTAAAAGGATAGAATCATTTACTTAACAGTTGTACATTCGTGTTTTATGGTTTTTCCTCTTAGAATAAATACATAATTCTATAGAAAGGTTGCATCATATGCAGATCAGTTGACCTTGAGATCACATTTCCCAATAGGAAAATAATTGGTTGTAATTGTTTACTGTGTCATTTTAGTGTGCTATTTTATGACCCCCACCCAGGGAGGTCTCTGTGATGTATAAATAAACGCGATTTGTGTGCTTGAGATCATTGTACTTGCTGGGTGTTTGTAGAGTACACTTTCTACGCTATATCAAGACTTTTCGTTACTACCTTTAAGTCAACTGATTAGAGTAGCCTACCTGGACACTGGTTCATTGTTTCGTTCTCGTTTATCGACTAAGGTGAACCCGTAATAGTTTCAAGCATACCTAGTGACGAGCATAACAGTTTCTCGCACACTGAAATCATAAATCCATCATTGTTAGACCACTACCATTAGATACCTGGGAGCGTTGGTATGGGACTCATCAGCAGCGTGTATCCACAACTCCTGCACCTCACAGGATCACATTTATTTATTAGACAACTATACACTCGAATGCGTAGCTCTTAAATAAATGATTTTGTTATGCCTGCACGTAAACACGTCAACTTGATATACCTGAACTATAATACGAGTATACCTTAGTCAGTAAACGAGAGCGAGGATCCGGTGACACGACATGCTACTCTAATCCGATTATCCCAAACACCAGATTTAGTTAAAATAAGAAGAATTGATATGAAGTAGGACGTGTATTCTACAAGCAAGTACGAGGTCCGAGTCCACAAGAGAATCAGGATCCCGTACTAATGATCCTGGCTGGGTCCTGGTCATAAAATGTTTCAGATAATGCGAATTTATACATTTAGGTTGAATAGGCAACATCATCGAAGTCTGAGACATTGGCAGTTAGGACGACCAATAAGAAACATCATTAGAGCACGTGACATTGATATCTAGGATGATCATAAAATTGACCAGTAGGAAGTAACCAATAGGAATCGACCTATAGTTCTCTTAGGATATTGGATGAATATCCTAACAGATTTCGTCGTAAAAATGAAAAAATTTCCTTCATTTAATTCGTATTAATTTTATTCAATGACACAATGAATGGTTCGAATTATCTAGAGTAATATACTTTTTTTTATCCAAAACGATTATTATCTTATTGGTTCAATAAACTCTTTCGTTAATTCATATTACATTCAAATTATAAATGAGAATTTCGAGTCTAGTGTTGGATAAGAGAAGACGACCGGTGTAGCAGCAGTAGGTCTCAACATACACATACAAAGGGAAAAGTACAATTCTTTGGTTGTTAGGATATTCATCAAATATCCTAAGAGAACTATTTTTGGAAGTCTAATTCTATTGGTCAATTGCTACTGGTCAATAAATATTATGGTCGTCCTAACTGTCGATGTCACAGACTTCAATGTTGTTTCCTATTCGACATAAATGTATCAATATACATTATCTGACTTCATTCATTCCTCCTTTACTCAACCCCATAAACAACATCTAACGGTGTTGTATTCTGATATATTGGAGATTTGGGGTCCTATTGGAATATCTGAATTTGATCAATCGGTAGGATTTCGAATACGCTACATTTCAGTATTATAACACTGGTACAGCACAATATGCACCAGCCAATTCACACACACACACACACAAACACTTGATGGAGACACCTTGAAGGATGTAAGAACATTTACATATCTCGGTTGCATAGTTGATGAGTATGGTGTATCTGATGCCGATTTAAAGATATGGATTGGCAAAACAAGGTCAGGATTTCTACAATTGAACAACATCTGCAACTCAAACCACAACTACCTGTCAACCAACATCAAAGTCACAGTTTTCAATACAAATGTCAAGAAAGTTCAACTGTATGAGATGGAAACATGGAGAACTACGAAAGCCATCATCCAGAAGTTACAAGTGTTTATTAACAGTTGTCTGCGCAAGATATTTCAGATTTGTTGGCCAGATACCATGAGCAACAACCTACTGTGAGAGAGAAAAAACAAGATTCCAGTTGAGGAAGAAATCAAGAAGAAACGCTGACGGTGGATATGACACACATTGAGGAAAGCACCGAACTATCGCAAGACAAACCTTCACTTGTAATCCTCAAGGCTGAAGGAAAATAGGAAACCAATCAAAACATTATGCCAAGAAACGGAGACAGACATGAGAAGAATGAACAGCAATTAGACAGAACTAGAAAGGAAGACGTAGGATCGAGTTAGTTGGAGAATGCTGGTCAATGGCCTATGATCCCATTGGGGGTAACAGGCGTAAATAAATAACAAAGTTGGACATACAATTACTGAATCGGTTTTCCAAATATTTCTTTTTGCAGTCAAATTAATTTATTTTAACATATAAATATTGATGCAACGGGATATGCAAATATTTATGCACTACACAGGTTATTTAATCTGTGAGCGAGCTGAGATACTGTCCGAACGCACGAACCGGAGGGACTAATTTTTTTAGTGGACCATACATGAGGGCCTCTGACCCAAAACAAAGCATCACGAGATGTACTACTATGGTATACAGCGACCAACAATAAGTTAACACGCTAATAGTTCACTCATGATCCTGGAGCCAATGTGGAACATTAATTTGGAATCAAGGTTTTCCAACTCCTCTAAACGAACCCTCCAAGCCCATCATTCTGGTTAAAGCGCCAAATATTCACTTTTCATCCTCTAAATTTCATAAACAATATCCCACGCCACAAGAAGGTAGTAAGAAGAAATTCTTCATAATTATATACCAATTAAAATGTATTGTACGATCTAACCGAATACTAGCGGCTTTTTAGATTAGTTGTAAGCATTCAAAATCAGACTAAAAGCAGCAACTCAGGGTTTGCTGGGCTTTGGGCAACTTGCGTCACTTGTGGCATAGGCGAGATTTCCGTCTGCTTAACCAAAGAACGAGTATACTGTGCAGTAGTTCGCTCTGTACTACTTTAAAGCTGTGAAACATGGAGTCAGAGTAGAAGATATTCGTAGGCTACTGGTTATTAGTAGGTGTCTTCGATGCATTGCTCGTTTATCTTGGAACTGTTAAGCAAGCAATGCCGTCGTTAGGAAGCGGGTACTAGGTAGGGATGGCAGATCAATTGATAAACTAGTGAAACTTCATCAGTTGAGGTGGTTGGGACATGTGTTACGTATAGCTAACCACTGACCGCCTCGACGAGCGTTGTTTTGTAGTGTAGGAGTAGGTTGGAAGAAAGTTAGGGGCGGTCAAAGCAAAAAATTTCACAAATTCATGAAGTCACTAACAATTGGACTGAACAATGTTGGTAAATACAGACTGTATGGTTGGGGCTCGCGAGATGTCAGTAATCGATGGTTAGAGACTCTGAGTGACATGGCTCAAATCATTTGCAATGGCGCTGGTGCATCCACTCTTTGTGTTATCTCAAATCCTAACCTTCTGAATTCCTGATCACCTTTATCTTTTTATTTTTAAGTTTATTTCACTAGATTCTACTTGTTGAATCACATATCTTCGAACCCTAATCTCTTCCTCAATTACTGCTAATACTTCTACTACCTCTACTACTATAGGATTTGAACTGACAATCGCCTCTCTGTGTGCTAATCTGGTATGACAATCAGAACTTATCTACGTTGTAACTAACTGCCCGAAATCAGGAAATAAGATTTATTCAATAGATTTATGATTGGTTTATTCTTTAATATTTTAAAAACAACCGAAATATACATTATCTGTAAGATATTAATTATTATGGTTTTGTTAATTCAAATACACAATTGATTGGAAATATTATTCACATAATAATGATTATACTACTAACAGTAATAAAAGTAGTAAGAATAACAATAATAATAATAAAAAGGGGAGAAAATGAAAGAGTAACAGAGAAAGTATACACACAAACACACCCGTACACACACAAACACATACACCTAGTGAAATATATATTCTTTCCTTTGAACAAATAAAACCAATTAGACAAGTGCAACTACTTATTCAACAAATCTTTGATTAATTGACATAGAATTTATGAACATTTATGAACCATTTGGATTGTAGTCATCAGTTGATGATGGTTGGTTGATTGGCTTTTCAAAATTCTCAAAATTCGAATTTTTCACTGAATCTTTATCATTATCCTTATCTTGTTTTTTCTTCTTACGAAAGCATCGTTTTGTATGACCACGACAATGTTCCGTACAATGTGTATGTTTATGTGTGTTTTGTTTGGGAGATTTATCATTGTTAACATGATTATGACCATCCGAAGGAGGAGAAGAGTCGGAATTATAATCAGACGATGAACTGGATGATGATGATTCATTCCATTTTCTTGGTTTTGCATAAATACAACAACAGTTTGATTTCTTTTTACCCATAAATTCATTATCTACTGTACCTTCAGCCCATTGAATAACTGGACCATGATGACTAGTCGATGGTAAATCAATATTTGTACTGTTCACTGTTTCAGTATTATTTGTTCCTCGGATTAGAAGAGGCTGATAATATGGAAAAACATAAAAAATTTTAAATGAAATCAAGGAAGAAAAAAAAAGAAGTACTATTAGTTATCATGTTATTGAAATGCAGTCAACTTTGGAAATTACCATTACATAAGAGTCAGTCAGTTGCAATGGAAGAACTTCGTACGTATGTACATAAGTTCATGTTGCCATATCACACTAGCACAGAAACGCAAATGTCAAATCAAATCCCATAGTGATAAAGATAGTAGAAGAACTACTGCTAATGGGGAAGATTAGGATATGAAGATAATATTCAAGAAGTATAATTAAGTGAAATAAAGGTAGAGGTGCTGACGAATCCAGAATATTAGGATTTGAGAGAGCACAAAGAATGGATGCACTTGCGCCACTGCAGATGATTTTGAGCCGTCGTTCAAGGTCGCTAACCATTGATGACTTTCGTCTCGCGGACCACAACCAGGTAGTCCACATCTACCATCATCACTCAGTCCACTAGTCGGTGACTTCATGGATTTCTGCCATGTTTTGGTTTGGCTGCCCCTAGCTTTCTTCCAACCTATTCCTACACTACAAAACATAGCTCGTCGAGGCAGTTGGTGGTTAGGCATTCGTAACACATGTCCGAACCATCTCAACTGATGAAGTTTCATTACTATTGATCTGCCATCCTTACCTAGTACTCGTTTCCTAACGACATCATTGCTTACTCGGTTATCCCACGATATACGAGCAATGCTTCTAAAACAGCTATGATCGAATACCAGTAGCCTACGAACATCTACTCTCACTGGCCATGTTTCGCATCCATATAGGAGAACGGAGTGAACTGCAGCGCAGTACAACCGTCCTTTGGTTAACGAACGGATATCTCGCCTACGCCATAAGTGACGCAGGTTGGAAAAAGCCAATCGAGCCTTCTGTATCCGAGCTGAGATTTCATAAGTCACCAGGCTATCAGCGCTGATGAGACTACCCAGATAAGTGAAGCGATCAACACGCTCGACTACTTCACTCCCTATCACTAGTTCAGGTGCCGATGTAACGAAATCTTGAAGCAACATTTTGCATTTCGGGGGGTGGGGGAACCGCATCCCGAAAATGCTTGCATTGTTGCTTAGGGTGGTCAGAAGACTCTGCATTTTGTCAGTGTCTTCACCGAATAGAACTATGTCATCGGCATATTCTAGATCAGTAAGCAACTTTCCTGGTAGAAGGTCAACTCGTGAAAAATCTGACGAGCTTAATGTTAACTCTAAGAGGATGTCTACGACAATATTAAACAAGAATAAATGGAGTGGACATCCCTGACGGACACCACTTGATGTAGAGAATTCAGATAACAGTTCGCCATAAGCTCTCACTCGACCAGTAGTGTTCAAGTAGATTGCTCGGATGTTCACTTACAGAGGTGGGGGACTGAGGATCGTGGGCAACCGAAGTGTGGCTCGAGGCCCGTTGAACTGGTCCCTAAAGTATTCTGCCGATTGATCCAGTCTCCTGGATTGAGAATGGATAATAAGACCATCCTTTTCCGAGATAGTCTCACTCAAATTCGGGTTACTGATACCGGTCTCTTTGATAAGGCATATTATTGTTGTATGTTCAATAAATGTATAGTTTGGCGTTGATTCAGTCAGTTAGCTACAACGTAGAACTTGGTGTACCTATGCACATCAGTTTTAAGTTGCTATACCACATCAGCACAGAGATATGGCATTGTCAATTCAAATCTCATAGTAGTAGATATGGAAGAAGTATTAGAGGTAATTATAAAAAGATTAGCGATCAGAGATGTCAATCGAGAAGCATATCACAGAGGAATCAATGAAAAAAGGGACAGCAAAAAAAACGATGGTCATGAGGAATCCAGAAGATTAGAATTTAACGGAAGACAAGAAATGGATGCATCTGCGCTGCTGTACACGATATTGAGCAGTGTCATTTCAAGTATCTGACCACCGGTTACGAATATCTCGTGGACCTCAACCAGGTAGTCTACACTTAGTAGCATGACTCACTCCAGTTGTCTGTGGCTTCATGGATTTGTTTTTGGTTTGGTCGCCCCTATTACATCAGAGAACACTGCTTGTAGAGGTAGCCAGTTGTTACGCATACGTAACAAATAATTCAACTGCCTTAACTGAAGATTTTCTACTTCAACAGTCAGTTCACCAACTATACTTGATACCCTTTTTCTAGGTTAGACATTGTTTACTTGATGGCCCCATGATATACGAACAATGCTTTGAATGTGTATGTTTGAAGATCCACATAAAATTATTCAACAGAAAATTTAGAATATTTTTTTTACCTGATTAATATCAGAAACTGTAGTGGATGCTTCTTTTTCCTCTGATTTTGACTCAATTTTTAATTCCATAACCATGAAGCTAACTAAATATTTATTAAATTGATTGATATGAAGGTGTACCAGCTGCTTGATTATATCTGTAAAATAGAAAAATTAACAAGGTGATATAGCAGACTGAGAACAAATGATATTTGGAGGTAATTAATTATTACAATGTCAGTCAGTCAGATGCAACGTAGAACTTCGTACGTAACTAGATCAGTTCATGTCGCCATACCACATCAGCACAGAGATGTAATTGTCAATTCAAATCCAATAGTCGTAGAGGTAGTAAGGGAATTAGAAGTAATCGGAGAGGTTAGGATTAGAGGATATTATTCAAGAAGTATGATTCAGTGAGATAAGTTTAGAAAGACAAAAGTAGAGGGGTCGAAGAATCCAGAAGATTAGGATTCGAGAGAACTCAAAGAATAAATGCACCGGCGCCATTTCGAACGATTTTTAGCCATGTCATTCAAGGTCTCTAAACATCGATTATTATCATTTCGCTGACCCAAACCTGGTAGTCGACAATTACCGACATGGCTAAGTCCACTAGTCAATGACTTCATGGATTTCTGTCATGTTTTGGTTTGGCCGCCCCTAACTTTCTTCCAACCTACTCCTACACTACAAAACAAAGCTCGTCGAGGCAGTCGGTGGTTAGGCATACGCAACACATGTCCCAACCACCTCAACTGATGAAGTTTCACCACTTCATCTATTGATCTGCCATTCTTACCTAGCACCCGATTCCTAATAACAGCGTTGCTCACTCGGTTGTCCCAGGATATACGAGCGATGCTTCGAAGACACCTATGATCGAAAACCAGTAACCTACGAATATCTTCTACTCTCATTGGCCATGTTTCACAGCCATAAAGTAGGACGGAGCGAACTACTGCACAGTACACTCGTCCTTTAATCAGCAAACGGATATCTCGTCTACGCCATAAGTGACGCAGGTTGGTAAAAGCCAATCGAGCCTTCTGTATCCGAGCTGAGATTTCGTCAGTCACCAGGCCATCAGCACTGATGAGACTCCCAAGATAAGTGAAGCGGTCTACACGCTCGACTACTTCACTCCCTATCACTAGTTCAGGTGCCGATGAAACCCAGTCCCGAAGCAACATTTTGCATTTCCAGGGGGAAAACCGCATCCCGAACATGCTTTCATTGTTGCTTAGGGTAGTCAGAAGACGCTGCATTTTGTCAGCATCCTCACCAAGTAGGACTATGTCATCGGAATATTCTACGTCAATAAGCGAGCCACCTGGTAGAAGGTCTACTCCTGAAAATTCAGACGAGGATAAGGTTATTTCTAGGAGCATGTCTATGATAAAATTAAACAAGAATGGAGAAAGTGGACATCCCTGACGGACACCACTTGAAGTGAAGAATTCTGGTGACAGTTCGCCATAAGCTCTCACTCGACCAGTGATGTTCAAATAGAGAGCTTGTATAAGGTTAATGTACTTCTTTGGTACACCTTTCAATGACAGGCACTGCCACGGAACCTCACGATCCACAGAGTCAAATGGCGCTTCCAGGTCCAGGAAGACAACTATTGTAGGACGCCTAAATGTGTGTCTGTGTTCAATTATTACAATGAGAAAAAGTATCTTTGATTGTAGACATATTGCAATTTGAACTTATGTATGCACGTACACAGTTCTACGTTGGAACTGACTATTTGTAGACAAGTGTAAGTGCGACTTCTAAACAGGTCATGTAAAAAAGCTTAATCATAAGCCTTTAGCTAATAATGTCTTTTGAAACTAACGAGATTAACATTGATATCAATAGATAACAAATATATTTTAAGAAGTTGTTTATCACTATATATTCAAGTTCAGTTACCAAGTTTAAAATACGATTCATTCTATTCAAGTTTGGAGATTGGGTAACATTATTAGCCGTTTAGATAAAGCACGACTTGCAGTAGGGTCCTTCAGGCTTCTATCCTAAGGTCTATTCTCTTTTTAATTTGCATTCATGAAGTTCCTTAGCAAGCATTTTTTGAGTTATTACTCTCCGCTGACGATGTGGAACGTTGGAAGAAAGAATGCAGCCAAAATGATAAGCTGGTTCTTCAGGAGGATCTGACTAGACTTTAAAGTTAGAGGTAACTTCTATCTAGAGGTGTACAAGGTTGAAAAAAGTTAGGAATCCTAGTACTTCACGAACTAAAGTCTTATGCTGTGACAAGGGTGCTTTTCGAGGAACCTTAAAATGGGACGTATTTTTGATCATTTTGACAGTAAAACGTCCCAAATAATCTTTAACAGCTTTATTCGACCCCCCTTTAGAGCATGAAAGGATAGTGATCTTTGCCCCATTGAAAAAGGATAAGCATACACTGGAAGATATCAAAAGATGAGCCATGAAACTTGTTTGAGGACTCGAATTCAAACCTTATGAAGAGCGCCTAAAATTATTGGATTGTCATCTACTAACGTACAGATGTCTCAAAACTGACCCAATGAATTATGGCATTCTACTCATTTTTGTGCACTCTATAAAGTACTTACTTAAGCTACGACCCAACACTAAACTTACGGGAACACCTATAAATGAATGGGGCAACAGAGAAACGGATTGTATGTACAGCTACTCTTTACGAGTAGTCAAGAGTTGGAGTTCAGTGGTGATTGAGGTTGTCCATGCAACTTTTCAAGAGTTCTTCAAAAAAAATTACCATATTCTTAGGGAGTCACGACTGTATTCCATCATAATTTGTTAATATTTCTTGATCCATTTAAATATACCTAAAAACCAGTAATCCACTATAACTAATTATGTAAGTCCATTAAGCGAAGTTTTTTTCTGTCCTACGCACAACCATTTAATAAGTGAATTATAGAAGATTGAACTGAATTAGGAAGTTGCACAACCGCAGGTACAAGAGAGTATGATCTAAACATTAGAAATATCAGTCACGCGAACTCAATATCAAGTGGTAAAACACATTGCAATTTATTGACGTCAGTTATTTAGGAAAAATTATTTTATTAACACTTCAGAAACTCGCCAATTTGGTTAGGTAAGCAGATAAACAAGGTAACGATACGACGCTATTTAATACAAACATCACTTGGTAACAATGAGCTTAAAGTATAAACACAAAATAATATTCTGTAGTATGCTATGGACGAAAAATGCATAACTCTGTAGTCTTCTGACTATGGTGATGATGGACTTGATAGATTTCGAGGAAATTTCCGGAAGGCAGCCGCAGTAAGCTTTCAGGGAGTGGGACAAAAAACCCAAAAGACGTTAAGGAAAAAACCAATGGCCTCCTCAAAATTTTTAATAACTTTGAAGAAACCCATTTCGCTGCGTGGAGAAAACCCTGAAAACTCAGAATTCCACAAAAATTTCCAAACTGATGTACATGTTATGATTCACAAGAATCTTATAAACCACCTAAAAATGTATGCGCAACTGACGTGGAACTAAATAAGAACCTAGGATTTGAAAAAAGGACTTTGGATGCTGGAGTAAAACCGAGTATTCACCTTTCGTAAATCTCAGACCGCGTAACGCAGCATTCAGAAACGAGTCTTCAATCCAATATCCAATATCTTTTTTACTAGCTAGTATAAAATGATTGATTTTTTTTTCTCTCGCTTCTTGATGCTTCTGTACGGTTTCAGGCATTCTGTAGTGTTCAGTGAATAGTAGTCTAGTCACTTGACCACATTATTGGAGTAAGTTGGCAGTTCTTCATGCATTTTTTATATCCGGTGATTTGAGTTTGCTATTGTTAGTGTAAAGAAGATTATGGAACTAAGCATACAAATAAGTAATTCAGTTATTTGACAGTGAAGATTGTGTGGGGAGACATAAGTATCAGAAAAGAATAGGAAACAGATGATAAGTTAGGTAGAATAAGTTAGTGATTTGAGGAAATAACTGTGATAACAACTAGTAAGTTTCTAGAAATGTATGAGGCAGAGATGAGTCAAGCGGAGATGAAAATCACTATGTGAATACGTGTATATCAAGCCTCTTCTTGAGGCTACCAAATGAAGGGGCAGCGGTCACTTAGGCTGGGATAGCATTCGAAGTTAGGACAAGTCTTAATGCTACATACTTTTGTAGTGGTATACTTTTACGAAGATAACACAACTGCTGAAATATAAACTATTGTACTTAATTCTGGCAATAGTTGATATATTGTACTCCTTTTTTATCTTTACTAAAGACTATCTTTCGCGCGCCAAACGTGTTATTCCAATTCCACTCCTCTCCTCAGTGGTTGTTAGCCGCTCCTGTTTTCTGGTCTCGGTATTATTTGTGTATCACAAGGCCAGCGACAAATATACTTCTTCTTCTTTCAGAACTTCTGGAATATCGGGATTTAACGTAATAATCCTGCGAAGGTGTATATTTATTTCAACTCACTATAGTGTTGAATTCAGGGTTTCTGCACACTTCCTCAAGAGTAGAGAAGGAATGTTCTCACATGCTGGTTACTTTCATGGACACAGGGATTCGGGTTTTCTTAGTACTAAGTCAGAAGTAAGTCGTATATTCACTAAGCCGTCAGCTCGCATCAGGTTTGAGCTGTACTATGAACTTCTAGGTACCTGGTTTAGCTGATGAGTGAAGTCACCGTTAATGATCTCAGCTATTTTTGTGTTGGTGAGATCTTAGCCATTCAGACCTTTAAGAGCGCAAGCATCCTGGTTTTGTAGGTTTCCTTTTGGTTAAGAACCTATAGGGATATTATGGGTTTGCCTGTAGTTTGGCAGCTGGCTTCATCCGGAAGTATCTCCTATCGCTTCGAAGGTTAACATTGCATCTATTTGTCAGCGTAGAATCTTTTTTGAATGTTTTGTTTTTTGGAAAATCCCTCCATGTTTATATATTTGTGTTATGATCTGACTGACTCTTTCTGTTGATATTTTGGTATTTTACTTGATTCCATTTTGAGATTTTATCATTGTATATTGTTATTATTTCTATATATTTGTACTTATATTGAAGTTTTTATGTTTGCTTCTGAACTGTACACATGTTGTTTAAATTTGATATATAATATGGCTACAGCCATATTTGGATTTGATATCGTTGCAGTTAATACTAGCATCACCTATTCTTTTGGAACTGGATGCCCATCAGGGTAATTGGGACTTGGAAGGTGTATTAAAAGTCAGGTATTTGTTTGTATTTCCATTTTACCATAATATAGACCACTTTCTCCTAGAATTATTGTGTTTTGATATTGGACTAAGGGAGGGTGCGTTCGACTTACACCTACTGGAAACAAATTGAACTGCTGCGGTAGAAAATTCATCTACAGTCAGTGCCAAGTAAGGACTAAGGTCGTAGTCCCTGAGGAAGACCCTGCACTGATTCCAGGCTCGCCTTTTCGCCTGTAGAAAGCATTCAGTGCCTTGTTTAAAACAAGTTCTCTTTCAGGTTTGTGATGTGCACGGGGCACATTGAGTCGGAGAGCGTTTTGAACGATGTCTCTTACTGTTCTCTAGTGATCATTATTATTATTATTATTATCCACTATTTGCACCCACCCTTCTCGTAGACATGGGGATATTGAAGTTGCTGTGTCATATTCGTGTAGTCTGGCCTAGTGAAGCAAAGGTAGGACGCGTATTTGTGCTTCCCAAGTATTTCTTTTGTGACCACGTTAAATACAATTGGACCCGGGTCACTGATTCCTATAATTGAATGGACTTGGACATCCTCGAACAGGAGCTGACCACTTCTTAAAAAATAATCCGTTTGAGGATTTTCTATACGTGGTCTGTCTAGTAGACTGAACTTTCTTAAATTATCCTCCCACATGATCAGTATTAGAAGGGAGAAGGAGATAAGACATATTATTATTGAAACCAATGTTCAGTATACGGTATGCCAATAACTCAATCACTTCGTAACCTGTTGCAAAATGATAAAATAGGGTTAAAGCATCCCATTCTGTTTTCATAGGACCGGCCAATGAGTAAGACCTCTCACCATTTTGATCCCTGGCCGCTGAACTAGTTCTAACATAACCATCTCATGTGCTTGAATTTCGTATTCAAGCACATGAGATGGTTATGTCACGAATAGTGCCATGAACATTTATTCATTCAAGCAATGAAGTGACTTTCGGATAGCTCATAAAACTCCGAGGTCGTTGGTAGTGACAGAGAAATGCTCGTACTTTTAAGGTTATTACTTACTCTTGAATCTTCACAATCTACTACTTTACGTACCACCATTTCACTACCTGTTAGTTGCATGAGTAGTCGCAGTTACTTATGCTCATCACTACGCTCTTGTTCGGAATCCTTCCCAGTGACCACCGACATCCATGCAACTTGGTGATGAAAGTCTGTATTACTATCCTAGCCGAAATAAATTATGTTGTCTTCCACAATTTATGTCATCATATACACAAATTAAGAAATGAAGAGGGACTGCTTGATGGTTTTCTGCTTTCACAATGTATTCAGATAGTCAGGCCCGGTCTCTTCGTATTTTACCCTGGGTTGAAGACCTATGTTGCTTGGTAGCCAGTTCATTTTCTCATTTTATGAGCGTGAACTGCATTTCATCGACCTAAAACCGTCCCGGGAACTCCGTGAACCACCAAACTGCTTTGACCTTGTGTGTATTTTGATGTCCCCGCAACTAATCGTACTGACCACAGGACAATTTAACCGAGGGTCTCTGAGATTTTACGTTCTAAGTCGGCCATTTCAACCTCCTCTTGAAGTTCTAACATTTTAAGCTGTCCTTCTAACTCAAGTCTCTTTTCCAAATTCTTCTTCCTTAGTAATGCCCTTTCTAACCTCAATCTAGATATACTAAACTGAGATGAAGACTTACTATTAACACTAATATCATCAAGTTTATCATCATTAAAGTCAGACATACCACAAACATCTTTAGAAATATTAACATCCATTTCGTCCTTCTCCTTCGGCTTTCTGATTCTGGTTTCCATTATTTGCTTTTGTTCTAAATCGAGTACAAAGCAAATGTGAAATTAATCCAAACGTATTCGACCAATCATAACAAAAATGTCCAAAAGTATCCAAAGTATGACCAAAGAACCAAAATTGAAGTGTCCAAAGTATCCAACGACCAAATTAAAAGTTAGAAAAACTTTTGGACCCAAATTTCCAAAAGTTTCCAACGACCAAAATTTAAATTGAAGAACGTCTGGACCCAAAACGTCCAAAAGAATCCAATGTATGACAAAATTAAAATAGAAGAACTTTTGTTACGTCCAATTTTTTGCTCTTTGATCCTTAGAAGCACAGTTTGTCGATCTATTTGCAATTCACGATCCCAAATATTAAACCAAAGGGAAACTCCAAAGTTAAGTACCAAAGTTTATTGCCAATTCACAAATAATCGACCAAAATATCCTTGGTTTGTTACAAATAGACGACCAATGTCGTTCTAACAACAACAATTATAATAATTACAATTACCTTCTATTTTATAGATTCTTGTAGCAAAAAACTGCAAACGAACAACCAAGACAAACAGGAGTCCGAAATGGCCGAAAATAATAATTCAAACAAGTTCATAAGTTAAGTAAAACAAATATACCCAAAAAACACAGTGAAATTAATGATATTTATATCAAGGTTTTGACCAGCAAAATGTCTTCATTTCTCCCGTAACAGATTTCTTTGGCAACCTGGGTCGAAACTAAAGTTACTCTCGATGAAGGAGGCTACATTTTGACCCTTAAACATAAGGCATAGATTGGTAGATGTACCGCTCACTTCAATCGTTTCGAATCCATTGCTAGCAAAGAACAGATGTTTACTGATTATCAGATATTTAACAAATAAATTATATTCTTATGCACTACAAACCACTTATCCATAGCTTTTCAGTCACATTGATAATATCATCATATCTGTACGCCGTCTAAAGTTCAACAAGGTTTTCTCAATCTTTTACTGAATAAGTGAACTAAACTAAGTTTTAAAATGTTGCCGGATTATGATTCCGGAATTTCTTCACAGTTATACTGTTGCCTCATTAACCAGTCTTCTATTTCATATGTAACTGTGAATAATTATATGAGTTCACAATGTCGAATACAGAACGCACTGTTGTTGCTTTACACTAATTATGATTATGACTGCAACAAGCCTGGAACTGTACCGAAACACCAAGGATTGAGGGCAAAAGTGCCAGTTCATTCTAAATCGTAGCATTAGAACTCATTATGGATCCTTGAATTGGATTCAATAAATTTAATAGAACAAGCGAAGATGTATACTAAATTCTAAGGATCTATTTAACTATTGATTTATAGGTGATAATCAATGCTCAGTATCTGACCATGCTACCGTCCAAATATCTTTTAACGCGATTATTCCAATACCAATAAATTCGAAAGTCGGAGATGATGAGATATGACAGAATTTTTGAAATTTAGGTCGATGTAACGTAGTGCCTGATGTTCAGTCTGTTTGTCTAAGAGTGACATCATTAATGACTGGTTGTTCCGGCGTTTTAATTTCCGCTCACTATAATACTATTTGAATATTTACCAAAATGTAGAAAGGCATCTACCTTTGTGCATACATCTATGGTTACATCCAAACTAGGTTTAGAATTTTCGGGCAAAGTACAGAGGATAAATACTAAAGCGATTCTAAAATTATTAAGCCAATCGTATACAGTATAGTTTGAAGGCTAGACCTTATATGGCTATATTACTGGAGACCGAAGTGATATTTTGATCTGTGGGCTAACAAGTGACGATTTTAGACCTATTATTTCTTTCTCGAAACTATTCCAGGTTAATTCTGGAGATATGGGGGACAAGTTTACAAGTCGAAAACGGACCAACTTTGCGTGCGATGTAAATTTTCTTGTCAAGTTGTTGACTGTGGGCTCCTGTAACCGAAAGAAGTAGTGGCCAAACATCGGCAAAGTTACCGATATGCAGATTGACATAGGTTTAGATGATAACACCTTTTTAATATAAAGAACCCGAAACTTAGTAAAGCCAAAAGTTTGGAAATACAGAAGGTATATTTAAAGGACAACTGGGATTTCAAGAAGTGGGAACAATAAATTTGCTAGCTGATACGAGAGAGCACGTAGCACGGCGTACTTAACAGTGATCTGGTGCAGCTGTATTGCCGAGCGCCTACAGATAGTGGGTAAACTAAAATAATGTTGAAAACTTGCACAACTGTTTGTTTGAAGAATTTCTTAACCGCTAAAAACTGATTCCAGATCCACAAACGCTTTCTAGAAGAGAATACATCCGACATATCGTCAGTACGATAGCTTGAATCTGAGTCAATTGAAAATCAAAGAGTTGCAGCTAACTGATCTTCAGTCTGGTAATGTGATAGCTGCTGCTATCCAGAAACCCTACTGCCCTGAAATAAACATTTTCATTCAAATCCCGAGACATACAAACTCACAACCAACTGCCAACTGACTAGAATTAGACAGTCGAGTGGCCAGACCCCCATTGACTGGACACTACCGAATACTTAAAACCGTATCGAGCGCAAAGAAATCAATTGGTTTATACTTGCTCGTGAAAAAGTTATTGGATATTGGATTTTGAGAGCGCTAGCGCTCTGTTTGTAGTCGTATGGTCAGGTGAGCAGGTTCTCCCGACGAAGTATTTGTTTACAAAAAAAAGTTTTGTCGATTTCAGGAATAAAATCCCTATCAAGGTTTTCTTTCATAGAAGCTAGGTTATTATTTCATTTAGGTCTCTTTCCGTAAGTAAGGTAAGTGTAACTGTACCTCAACAACAAGAAGCGTTGGTAAATAAACCAATAGTTTATACTGCATCGTAAAAAAGATTTTGGATGTCTGTTTAAGGGGGGAATGCAATTGTTTTCGATCCGAACAGCATTTATAATTTCATGAAAGTAGTAAATCTTCCATCTTCCTCCCCTTATATGTTTATAAATTATTCAGTAGACTTGGCTATTTCTGTTATAACCTCATGCTTAAATATTAATTATTTTTAAAAGCCCACCTGGTAACGGTAGTCAACGTTTCACCTCACTCCCTAGATGAAATTAACCAAAAAGGTGGTAAGGGGGATAAGGTTAGCCTTCACTAAAAAGTATTTAATGTAGCACAACCAACTCTTGATATTTAACTTTTATTGCATCTTACCATGAAATAACTTCCATCTCCTAGTTGTATTCTTATCAGATTTCAAAATTATAAATTACGGCATTAAATTCAAGTCTTCTTGACAGTTCCATATATAACTGTTTCAAAAGTTTCAGTAGGCACTGTGTACAAAACCCCCAAAGAATAATTGTTCCATTATACCTTTTTCTATGATAGTTAGTAAAATTCATTTGAGATCCGGGGTAAAATTTGTAACGTAGGTGGATGATTATGGTGGAGTTCTGTTCTCTGATAATAAAACTAACTAAGGAATCTAACTAAGCAGTTCGCAATCACGATATACCAATTAAAAGTGGGGAAGAATAGTTTGTGGAGTCATTTCTAAAATTCTAGTTCCAGGAATCATATCCAGTTTTCTCATTATCCACATAAAAGTCAAAACCAGTGCCAACAATTCTAATATATTACAAAAGTAGTAAATCAGTAAGGAAATAATGCTTTAAAAGTTCATCGGTTGATTCTGTACTACCAAATGTTATCTTAAATCCTAACTCAGTTTAAATAGTTATATCAATCTAATCCCCATCCCAGTTAAGTTCAGATGGTTGTGTAGTATCACCAGTTCTTATCCAAACTAGTTTGGCTCATTGAATAACAATTTTGTGTAATTCTAAATAGATTTAGATCTCTGTAAAACAGCCTGCTACTCCACCTCTTAGATTCCACAGTAAATTTGTCAAATGTTACATGTGAATGCTGCTATCATGCATTTAACCATAAAGGTGTTACGCTAAAGTTGTCAAAAATATTGTATTTTCCGTCAAGTTCATTTATTTTTGTTGCGCATTGATTTTTAGGCGCTTCATTAGACTAATAATTATATTTAGATGTATTTTGAGTAGTTTTTCATTGATCAACATCCGTTCATCCCTTATTTACTAAATCAGTATAATTTTATCGGTCATCATCGAATATCACATATGATCACCCATTTTCACCGGTTAATTCACTCTGCTGATTCAGTCAGTCAGTCAGATGCAACTTAGAACTTCGTCCTTAAGGACATCAGTTCATGTCGCCATACCACATCAACACAGAGATGTAATTATCAATTCAAATCCAATAGTAGAAGAGGTAGTAAAAGTATTAGAAGTAATCGGAGAGGTTAGAATTAGAAGATATTATTCAAGAAATATGATTCAATGAGAAAAGTTTAGAAAGTCATAAGTAGAGGGGTTGAAGAGTCCAGAAGATTAGGATTTGAGAGAGCTCAACGAATGGATGCACTTGTGCCATTGCGAACGATTTTGAGCCATGTCGTTCAAGGTCTCTAACCGTTGGTGACTTTTAACTAGTTAGTTCATCGAGGGTCTAAATCTCTCTCCAGTTTGACTACACCCGATAATATTAGTAAAGCTCCAGAAATTACATAATTGTGTACTTATTGGATAAGTTAGATTTAAACGATGGAAGTCCGCTTCATCAACTGACAAGATTGTTCTAAGCCAACACTTTTTTAGTATACAATGTTCATCCGTCTTCTATTGAATTAAAAAGTTGATGGTTTATTCAGATGTTTCTATTATTTGTTTTTCGTTATCCGTAGTCATTTTGTAGATGAAATTCATTATTATTTTATTTTACTCATTGTATTTTTTCATTATTTTGTATTCACAGGTTCATAAGTAGACATTAACATTACATTATTTTATGGCAACTGCTTCTAAAACCGAGAGTAGACTAGTTACAGAGCAAAATATATTCAACTATTGTATCTCTGGTGATTTAAAATCATTAAAAGAATGCTCACATTCTGTTGGTCAAGTAGTACATAAAAATTCACTTGATGGTCAAACTTGTCTTATTGTAGCATGTAGAAATGGTAAGTTTTATGTTTGTTTCTCATATTGAATTAACATCATTTTAGGCCATTTGGATGTTGCCGAGTACTTGATTGATTTTCATGGGGCAGATGTTGAACAAGTTAGTTTTTTTCCTACAATATCATTGTTTACAAAAATTTTTTTCAGTTGTAATTTGCGATTACATTTTTAATTTTTCTCTTCTGTTTAGTCAGTATAAAATTAAGTTTACCGAGTTCCGAATTAATGTGAGCTTAAAATTCAATTTACTCATCAATCTATTCATTCACACATTTGCTACACAAGTGTTTATACTACTCTATTCGATTCTTAAATCATACCATAAAAGCTACTTCATCTATGACTGATTTGTAAATATCATTCATTCTGAAAAGTACAATTCAGTCATACTCGTTTTAAAGCAGTATTTAACATGTATGGTGCTGAATAGTGTTACCTTGTTGTTATTGTTGTTGAAAGCATAATTGGTGCTATAAGATTTGAGCATTTAGATTAATTGGAAATCAATTCTTCTAAACATTAACCCCATTACCTTAACCTAGTTGAGTTATTCATTAAAACATATTGATAGTACTGAATTCATAACTTTGTTTGTAAATTCCAAACATTACATTTCAACACGAATAATAAAGTACTATATTTTCTCTTGATAAATGCCAAAGTTAGTTATACTATAACCTGTTAAGATTCGGATATTAACCCCCCAAGATTTTTGGTAAATTAATCTTCCTTGTTACTCATAGACTAATAGTGTAGTGAACGAGAACACAGGTGGGGCAACCGGATTGTATTTATCTCAAATTACAGAGTTACTCAGTAAAACTCGGAAAACCATATCGTAAATCGTTAATTTGCTAAATATCAGTCCATCATCATATCGAACTGAACTGTTCCTGTTGCAAAACATCAATCCATTGTCACTATTCATGTGTTTCATACAAATTCCATTGTGTTCTAACTCTTCCTTTCTTGATCTTCCCTCATCTTCTGCTGCCAGATATTACGTTGACACTCACGTCATATACTACTTATAAGTAGCTCGCACCACAATAGTAGATCTCATTTACTGTTAAAACCAATTTTCTGCAAATTCAACCTATGGTTTTTTTCACATTACTTCGTGCTTTTGAGTATCGTAAGTAAGGGTTGCGTATATATGGTATTGGCAATTTAAATCAATACAGATTTATCTTTGTTTGATCGCATACAGTGACCATTATTAATTGACTTGCAATAACTCATAAAGTACCAGTATTTCAGTTGTTTTTTTTATTTTTAAATTTTATTTTATAGAAAGACATTTTTTTTTCTCTAAGTTGACAATAAAACATCAGTTTGTTTGGTAATTTATTCTTTTTTTTCTCTCATGATAATTTATTAACTAAACTGAAATTCAATAATTTTTTAAAAAAAAAACCATATAAAATGAAGAAATTAACCAAGTTGCAAGTCAGTAAAATAAGCATATGTTTATGTACTTGATTTCAAGTCCATCAGTTCTGTATAATACTCAGGATGATGTGATATGATATTCAAACTAAATGAAATGAAACTGAGCACGAAACTTTAACTCAAAGTTGAATTCTTTCATTGATTGGCGTAGGCGAGATATCCGTTTGCTGACTTAAAGGACGAGTGTATTGTGCAGCAGTTCGCTCCGCCTTACTTTGTGGCTGTGAAACATGGCCAATGAGAGTAGAAGATATTCTTAGGTTACTGGTTTTTGATCATAGGTGTCTTCGAAGCATTGCTCGTATATCGTGGGACACCCGAGTGAGCAACGCTGTTATTAGGAAACGGGTGCTAGGTAAGAATGGCAGATCAATAGATGAAGTGCTGTAACTTCATCAGTTGAGGTGGTTGGGACATGTGTTGCGTATGCCTAACCACCAACTGCCTCGTCGAGCTTTGTTTTGTAGTGTGGGAATGGGTTGGAAGAAAGCTAGGGGCGGCCAGACCAAAACATGGCAGAAATCCATGAAATAATTGATGAGTGGACTTAGCCATGTCGGTTATTGTCGACTACCTGGTTGGGGTCCGCGAGATGATAATAATAGATGGTTAGCGACCGTGAATGACATGGCTCAAAATCGTTCGCAATGGCGCCGGTGCATTTATGCTTTGTGTTCTCTCAAATGCTAATCTTCTGGATTCTTCAGCAACTCTAGTTTTGACTTTCTAGCTAATGAAGCCTGTTGCCCTATTCGGCATAGGGTCCATACATTAAAAGCTCCAATATGTAATTTGGTACGGGGTTTCAAGAGACCAGGAATACTGTTTTGTGATCTCGCACCGTTTGCTTCAGTGGTGTGAGGTGATAAACGATTGAAAGAACGGTTGGTCTAGGAGATAAGAGAGTTATTAAGAGGTGTAGAAAGGATTTGATTGTGGCCAATTTTGTCTCGTGTGCTTCTATGGGTATGAGGGCGGTTGTCACTTCCCGGCTGCCCACATCGTGGAAGGGTGTTTCTTGAGGAATCTGAAAAGGAAAGTAGATTAGCGTTCGTCTTGACGACCTGGAAGCATGACCGCAGAGTCCAAGGGACAACTACTTCAGACCGGTCACGTACGGCCTTTTTTGAGCATTAGCTCCGCTCGTAAAAGCCCTTAGTGAGTATCCCTTACCGACGGAGATGGAAATCCGTGAGGTAGGATGAGGTGTGACATTTTTAGGGTCGACCTGTTTTATACCCTTCCTTCCTTGTGAGAAGGCAGCATCGCTGCAGATGCTGGTTGTCCGACGGAAACGCGTTACTGCTGTCACACCCCTCTGCAGTCAGCAGTCCGACCTAGCCCTCAGACCTTGAGTAGCTGCTTTTAGTCTCATCGTTCTCCAATCGACCTGCCTGGCATGGTAGAACCTTTAGGAACACATGTTCCAGCCAATATAGCTCGGGGTTGGGTCATGTTGATAGGTAAGCCCGACCACCGCATCAAAGTAGCAACTACGATCGGCCAACCACACTTGACATATTTTCATAAATAAAGTTAATATTAGGAATGTGAACAAGATTGCAAGTTTTATTCTTCAGAATTTTCTTAAAAGAAAACATATTATAATCATATTTATAATGATCACTGTATTATTTACTGTTTACTTGTGAAAGTCGATCACATTTACAATTGATATAAAGATAATTAGTGGCATACATTAACAATCATGTCAATGAGTTCATTTTATTCTGTATATAATCATTCATACAGTAGTTAACTCATTAGTAGTATTCTTGTTTTTTATTTTTTTTAAAAAAGAAAAAAATTAATCACAAAATTACAATTAAAAATGAATTCTCTCTCTCCCTCTTACTCTCTCTCCCTTACTCTCTCTCTCTATCTCTGTCACATACACCTACACAATGATGAATAATGTAAAAAGAGTCAAAGTTAACTAACTATGGGTTAATTAATTAAAACAACAACAAAGAAATTAATTTATTTCAAATTTATTGAGTTCAATTTATTTATACTTTCAATTGTATGATGATTACAATGATCATTAGTTGCGATATTATTATTATTATTATTATTATTATTATTATTATTATTATTATTTTGATTATTTTGATTATCATGAAGCAGTTCAGTATACACTTACAATGAAAAAGAAAAATTTAGGAAAAAATATTTCTATCTAAATATATATACATAGTTTAGTGAAGATTATTTGTATAGACAGACAGACATACAACGCAGAACTTCGTACGTGCGTAAGTACATCACAGTTCAGGTTGCTATTACCACATTAGCACAGAGACACAACTGTCAGTTCAAATCCAACAGTGATAGCAATAATAGAAGTAGTATTAGCAGTAACAGAGAAGATAAGGGTTCGAAGATATGATTCGAGAAGTATAATTCACTAAGATAAATTTAGGAAGAGAAAGGTAGAGATGATGAGGAATTCAGAAACTTAGAATTAGAGAGACCACAAAGAGTGGATGCACCTGCGCCATTGAAAACGATTCTCAGCCATGTCGTTCAAGGTCTCTAACCATTGATGACTTTCGTCTCGCGGATTCCAACGAGGTAGCCTACATCTACCAACATGACTCAGTTCACTTGTCAGTGATTTCATGGATTTGTGCCATGGTTTGGTCTGGCCGCCCCTTGCTTCCTTCCTCACCTCCTACACGGGGTATCTTCTTGCGATCCGATCTCTACTTTTTGAAGCATATGTGGAGCATATAATGAACATGCTGTCGGTTCAAATCAACATCACACAGATTCAAATGATACTTAGGGAAGTAGAAATATTAATCATTTATGCAAGTACGTCGTAAGATAATCTCGGTTGGCCTTTTTTTTATAGTACTTTTCTAAGCATCGGATCCGCCTTGGTTGTCGATGACATATCTTGGCATCATCATAGACAACTAAGGTGGATCCGATGCAGATGAGAGGGCGCAGATCGGCAAAGCAAGGACTGCATTTCTACAATTGAAAAATATCTGAAACTCCAAACAGCTTTCAACCAAAACCAAAATCAGGATTTTCAATACAAATATCAAGACAGTTCTACTGTATGGAGCCGAAACTTGGAAAACTACGAAAGGCATCATGCAGAAGATACAAGTGTTTATCAACAGTTGTCTACGCAAAATACTTTGTATTCGTTGACCAGATACCATCAGCAACAACCTACTGTGGGAGAGAACAAACCAGATTCCAGTGGAGGAGGAAATGAAAAAGAATCGGTGGAAGTGGATAGGAGACACATTGCGGAAAGCACCTAACTGCGTCACAAGACAAGCCCTCAATTTGAACCCTCAAGGCAAAAGGAAAAGAGGAATGCCAAAGAACACATTACGTCGAGAAATAGAGAAAGACATAATAAGATTGAACAAAAACTGGAAAAAACTTGAAAGGGATGACCAGGACAGAGTTGGTTGGAGAAAACCGGTGGGCGGCCTATGCTCCACTGAGGGTAACAGAGGCGTAAGTATGTAAAGTAAGTTTCTAAGCGATGACTAAGAATCCCGATTACTGCAATCTAAGTAGTAGTGATAGGAGACCAATGGTTTGATGTAGAGAGCATTTTCAATATTCAGACTGTAGATTGCAAAAACTTGAATAACAACTAACTACTCTCTAGCAGAGTAGTATCACTCACTGGCTGCCTTCACACACACTACTATTACTTGGTAAATAAAGTCAAGTTATAAACCTTTGGCAACTACTACTATTATCAACTAACTAACTAACTAACTAACTATACATTGAAATTTACAAAATGTTGATGATGATGATGTTTTTCACAGTGAAATCCATTCGAAACAACAACACATAGGAGTTAACAGTTCATAGTTTATGATGATTCTATTATTTCAATAAAATATTTCATTGATATTAGTTTGTTACAAAATATATACAAATAATCTTCTTCGATCACCGGTGTCTCCGAAGCATTGCTCGTGTATCATGGGAAAACTGTATAAGCAATGCTGTCGTTAGGAAATGAGTACTAGGTACCGATGGCAAATCAATAGATGGAGTAGTGAAACTTCATCAGTTGAGGTGGTTGGGACATGTGTTACGTATGCTCAACCACCGACTGCCTCGACGAGCTATGTTGTGTGATGTAGGAGTAGATTGGAAGAAAGCTAAGAGCGGCCAAACCAAAGCATGGCACAAATCCATGAAGTCACTGACAAGTGAACTGAGTCATGATGGTAGATGTAGGCTGCCTGGTTGGAATCCGCGAGACGAAAGTCATCAATGGTTAGAGACCTTGAACGACATGGTTCAAAATCGTTTGCAATGACCCAGGTGCATCTAATCTTCTGAATTCTTCATCACCTCAATCTCTCTGTTTCTAAATTTATTTCATTGAATTATACTTCTTGAATCATATCTTCGAACCTTTATCTTCTCCATTACTGCTAATACTTCTATCATTGCTATCACTCTTGAATTTGAACTGACTGTTGCATCTCTGTGCTCATGTGATATGGCAACTGGAACAGATGTTTGTACGTACAAAGTTCTACATTGTAACTGACTGACTGATTTTCCCAACTAGTCCTAATGTTTGCGAATAATGCACAATATTGAATTTACAGGGAAAACCATTGCCTCAGAAAGCTTGGCACATATCACAGTCATAAACGATTTTTATCTTGAAGACAAATATTTAAAAATATGAATATCCTGATTAAATTTATAGTTACAGCATTAAAATGATGCATATTTGGATGCTTTTTTTAAAAAAAAATTTTCTCAGGTCGGTGTTGTCGAATTTGAAGGTGAACAAGTAGAAGGTGTACCTCCATTGTGGTGTGCTGCAGCAGCTGGACATTTAAAATTAGTCGAATTGTTAATTAGTCGTGGTGCAGATGTTAATCGTACAACTATAACTAATTCAACAGCTCTTCGTGCTGCTTGTTTTGATGGACATGAACAAGTAGGTTTTATTATTTCTTTTTCTGACAAGTTTTTTTCATGTTACTGACAATTTAATCGATATGTGATTGTTACTTATGAACTGTTCAACTTAAATACCCGAAGTATTACTCATATATCCTGGGACATTGGAGTAAGCAGCGCTGTTGTTAAGGAAGAAGCTACTAGGTAGGGATGGCAAATCAAAAGATGAAGTAGTGGAACTTCATCAGTTTAGGTGGTTGGGTCATGTGTTACGAATGCCTAACCGCTGACTGCCTCTTCGAGCTATATTTTGCGTTGTAGGGATAGGTTGGAAGAAAGTTAGGGGCGACCAAACCAAAACATAGCACAAATTCATGAAGTCGCTGACGACAAGTAGACTGAGTCATGTCGGTGGGTGTCGACTACCTGGTTGGGGTCCGCGAGATGATAATAATAGATGATGTGAGACCTTGAATGACATAGCTCGAAATCGTTCGCAATGTCGCAGGTGCGTTCATTCTTTGTAATCGCTCAAAATTCTAATCTTCTGAATTCCTCATCACCTCTATCTTTCTCTTTCTAAATTCATTTAATTTCCTAATCTCTCTGATTACTGCTAATACTTTTACTACCTTTACTATTATGGAATTGGGATTGACAATTACATTCCTGTGCTAATGTGGTACGGCAACATGACAGACAGACAGATACAACGCAGAACTTCGTATATATGTACCTCAGTTCAGGTTGCCATACCACATCAGCACAGAGACGTAATTGTCAGTTCAAATCCAAGAGTGATAGTGATAGTAGAATTGTTAGCAGCAATGGAGAAGATTAGTGAGCGAAGATATGATTCGAAAATTATAGTTCAGTAAGATAAATTTAGAAGGAGCAAGGTAGAGATGATGAGGAATTCAGAAGGTTAGAATTAGAGAGAACACAATGAGTTGATTCACCTGCGCTCGTAACGGCAACATGAACTAATGTTCGTACGTACGTAGTTTTACGTTACTATTGATTGATTGACTGATCGACTCATTATGCCATGATTCGTGCTTGGTTTCTCATCCTCTTTTTTCTCAACTACGAATAATTTTATTTTTCATTCTTATCAAAAATAGGTTGTTCGATATCTTGTGGAACATGGAGCAAACATTGAAAATCCAAATCGTCATGGACATACTTGTTTGATGATTAGTTGTTATCGTCGTCATGATAATATTGTCGAATATTTACTTAGTAAAAATGCTCGAGTTAATCGACGAAGTGCTAAAGGTTAGTTCTTTTTTTTCGCATTCCTGTATGTATGTATGTAATATTTGATATCAGAAGGTCCCGGGTTCGAACCCCTGTGAGTTGCAGGAGTTGTTGATGTGCACTGCCACTTATGAGTCCCATACTAGGATGAAGTGGTCGTCCAATGCTTCCAGATTTCGAATTCTGGTCTAACCGTAACTCAACAGGCTCTACAACTCTGTCATGCAAAATATATGCCATAGTCTATCTATCTATCGATTAGTGAGTGAGTGGGCCCGAAAATATACTGCCCAGCTGCCCAAATCGAAGCATATATTTTTGTTAGTGGGTTACTCTTTGAGCCTATGTGATGCATTGTCTTGAGTATTGACCAGTTGAGATGGAGCAATAGTTCATCGGTTTGGTGTCTGTCCATTTTCAGTCATTTAATTAAAACACACAACTTCAAAACCCGTTTCTGATATATTACGATAGTGCACAGCTAATTATTCGTTGTAGTAGTAGTAGTCACTCTAAATGAATCAGTGATTTTGAGAAAATTTGTAGTTCAGATGGATCAGTGATATTGTGAATAAATCACTGAGAGAGAAGTCTGACAATGAAAGAGAGACAAACAGAAATAATATTTATTAAGAAATACAATTCAGTTCAAGTATACAATGAAAAATAAAACATGACAGAAATCCATGAAGTCACTGACAACAAGTGGACTGAGTCATGTTGGTAGATGTAGGCTGTCTGGTTGGGGTGCGCGAGACGATAGTCACCGATGGTTAGAGACTTTGAACGACATAGCTCAGGTGCATCCACTCTTTGTGTTCTCTCTAATTCTAACCTTCTGAATTCCTCATCATCTCCATCTTTCTCCTTCTAAATTTATCTCACTGAATTATACTTCTCGAATCATATCTTCACTCCCTAATCTTCTCCATTACTGCTAATACTTCTACTATCGCTATCACTCATGGATTTGAACTGACAGTTGCGTCTCTGTGCTGATGTGGTATGGCAACCTGAACTGATGTACTTACGTATGAAGTTCTGCGTTGTTTCGGTCTGTGTCTGTCTGTACAATGAAAAACTTTCAGTTAGGAAAAATCATCTTACCATTACAAAATATAGTCAAAAATCACATCAAGTTGCTTCATTTTTAACACCTCAGTCAGGAAGTTATGATGAACTAATAGAAACAGTTCTATACAACTACTTTTCTTCTATTATTACGTTATTTCTTAAACTGACCACCTCTCCGTTCTTTCTATTCAGTCCTTGCATTGGTAAATCATCCACAGTGTGGTGGAGGTTGTAAGACATAATCATGGTATTGTAGTCATCTTTTTAAGGTAGCGAGTTCAGCGAACGAAACTCCATCATAGTTGAATTAATAACACTATGATTGAATGTACTATGCTGAACGTTGGCATCTACTTCTTGAATCGTACCTTCGAATCCTAATCTTATCCATTACTGCTACCATTATTAGATTTGAACTGACAGTTGCGTCTCTGTAGTAGGTTACTGGTTTTCGATCATAGGTGTCTTCGAAGCATTGCTCGTATATCGTGGGACAACCGAGTGAGCAACACTGTTATTAGAAAACGGGTACTAGGTAAGAATGGCAGAAAGAGCCTTGTTTTGTAGTGTAGGAATAGATTGGAAGAAAGTTAGGGGAGGCTAGACCAAAACATGGCAGAAATCCATGAAGTCGTTGACAAGTGGACTGACTGAGTCATGTCGGTAGTTGGTAGTAGACTACCTGATTGGGGTCCGCGAGATGATAATAATCGATGGTTAGAGACCTTGAATGACATGGCTCAAAATCGTTCGCAATGGCGTCGGTATATTTATTCTTTGTGTTCTCTCAAATCCTAATCTTCTGGATTCTTCAACACCTCTAGTTTTGACTTTCTAAACTTATCTCACTGAACTATACTTCTTGAATAATATCTACTAATCCTAATCTCTCCGATTACTTCTAATACCTTTACTACCTCTTCTACTATTGGATTTGAATTGACAATTACATCTCTGTGCTGATGTGATATGGCAACATGAACAGATGTACTTACGTACGTACGAAGTTCTACGTTGCATCTGACTGACTGACTTACTGACTGTGGTAATGTGATTGAATCTACTAATGCCGAACATCGGCATTACTTGTACTTTTATCACTTACCAGCAATTCTTTGAAGACAACAGTGACTGAATTAAAAAATGTCGTCAAAACAACTTTAACCTTGATGAGGCAGTCAGTCAGGTTTCATCATCAATCGCGTTAAGAAAACCAGTGATTTACAAGCAGACTAATGTCATAAAACAGTACCAGAAGGGATGGTTCAGCGGTTCGATAACTTCTTAATATATATATATATATATATATATATATATATATATATATATATATATATATGCATATGCATGTACATGTCGATTCTCAACTTGGTTACTGATTTGTTTTCAGTTTGATTACCTAATTACATGTATGAGTGTGTGTGTGTTTGTGTGTACTTGGTTAGAAAACGGTGCAAAAAAGAAGACAACAGAATCTCACTTGATTTTTCATCATTCTCGTTCACATTTTCATTTTCTTTTGGCTTTTTAAATCAATTGAAGGCTTTCTGTTCCATTTTTCTCTCAATCATGCTTCAATCGATAGATTGAAAGAGAGAGTGAGAACTAGCGAGCGAGCGAGTGAGCGAAAAAAAATCGATTTACAACGTATTACATTTTAATGAGCACAAAATTTCTCGCATACTACAATGATACTAACTAAAGTCATGCTTATATGAGTGAAATGATGAATTAATGTGATCAATTTCTTACTTACCTTCTTTTCACTGTTTATTCCGTTCGTTAGAATAATCGTGCCAAGTTTAAGTAGTGTCGATTGTGAGATACACTTTCGTGTACGGGCCTAGTCATACTGTAGTGAAGGAGAACACAGGTGAGGGCAACCGAATTATATTTATCGTAAATTACAGAGTTACTCAGTAAAATAGGAAAACCATATCGTAAATGGTTAATTTGCAAATCTTCAATCCATCATCAATCCATTGTCTGACATTTCACTTATTCATGCGTTTCATTACAAATTCCATTGTGTTCCCACTCTTCCTTTCTTGATCTTCCCCCATCTTCTGCTGCCAGACATTACGTTTTCACTCGCGTCATACACTACTTATAAGTAGTGCGCACCACAATACTATTATCCTTAGTGTGTATTTTAAATAAAGGAGTTTATAGAGATTGTTGAATTTTATGCTTTTACATTACGAATGGATTTTTGTTAGACAACCATTCTTCAGATGTGTACATCCTCTATCCAGTCGGGGAATAAAACTCAGGGTTGTTCAGGTTTTGTGGAGAGCGCTTAAGTTTTAAACTATCCGACTGATCGACTGATGATTCATCAAACGTTCTAAATTTACTCAAAACTATTTGTACAATGGTCGCTAGTTTGTGATGAAAATCTCTCAACTACTAGCGCGTTCAACTGATCGAATTTTGAAGTAAAATACCAAGTAGGATGTTGTTAGGATATTCACCAAATATCCTAAGAATACTATTTTTAGAAGTACAATCCTATTGGTCGATTTCTATTGGCCGAAATTATGATCGTTCTTACCGCAAGGGTCAAAGACTTCAATGTTATCTCTTATTGATCATCTGGACTGCCAATGTCATTCAAATGTTCTTTTCTATTGGTCGTCCTAAATTGTCAGTGTCACAGACGTTGATGCTTCTCTTATTCGACCTTAGTATATAAATACGCACTATCTGAAAGACTTAATAATTCTGTTTCCCCTGCCCACCTCTTCTTCTGTATTCGACCCAATAAACAACTTCCTTCCACGGTCTTGCGTTCTGATATCTAGGAGATTTGGAAATAGCATTTTGGGTCGTATTGGGATATTTGAATTGGACGCCGTTAGGACTGAAGAGCTATACGTAGCAGCTTTACAACAGATGTGGACTTAAAAGGTTAATGATTAAAAAGTCAAGTGCTCCAACCATTTAATTAAGTAACCAGAGCAAATTATTCTTTCAAGTTTCGATGAGGAAACAGTTATCATCTTCGTCATTATTAATGGTATACCAAGAAAAAAGTGTACGATATGTTGATAATTGAAAATTCTTAAGTTCTATGCATTAAAAAACTCCTACCCTTCTTTCCTCACAAAATAACAATCATTTATTACGGAAAAAAACTAACCGGAAGTTGATGTGGATTGAATAAGTACTATATTCTTGTACAAAGTTAATAATCTACATAAACATGAATAATATAAAGGGACACCGAAATGCCTTATGCGCTATACGTATCAATGTATTGATATTTGCGTTAGGATACTGTCCGGTTGTCCATACTGAATCAGGTGGTACTTTTAGGGGGCCACACCTTGTACCATTTGACCGATAGGTCTAATCCAGAAGACACTAGAGTAATGTGAAGGGATGAAGTCTAATGCTAGCCGGTGACCGGCAATAGGTTCATACAGCATTTGTTCCTTTAGGATCGCGGAGCCCATGTTCACCATTATATTTGGAATGAGAGTTTTCCAGCTGTCGTCGATGGATCCTCCTCATTCTCGACCGTACGAGAGCATTTGTGGGTATGTTAATTGTAGGTGTTATAGTTGAGAGAGAGGGAGAGGAAAACATAATTGAATATAGGGAAGTTATTTCAAGTGTCTTTACGCCTTTTACTGCCAATGGAGCATAGGGTACTGACTAGCCTTCTTCAACCTACTCTGTGTTGTGGATCTTCCTTTCTAGTTCTGTCGAATTATGATTGTTCATTCTTCTCATGTCTGTTTCCATTTCTCGGCGTAATGTGTTCTTTGGTCTTCCACTTTTCTTTTTACCTTGACGGTTCCAAGTGAGGGCTTGTCTTGTGGCTCAGTCTGGTGCTTTCGTCAATGTGTGTGCTATCCACTTCCAGAGCTTGTATTGTATATCCTGTGGAAATATAATTGGTGCTTGTTAAGTAGAAGGGAGATTATTATTATTGTTATCATTAACTTCTTTGTCACGTTCAGGATCGTATACTTTAATTGTAAAGCCAAGTGTCACTACTACTACTACTACTAATACTACTTCTACTCCGCCATTGTTCAAGTCAAAATAAGTAAGGTGTAGGTAGGTTCAGATCTGATTGTGAAATCCCAAATCCTACTTGGCTACTACATTTTAACTTATAGTATTTCAACTCGTTTTTTAAAATTTTCGCGGCGTTTTTTAAAATGTTTTTTAAAAAAAAGTCTTCTTTAGCAATCGCTTTTATAAACGATTGCAACGTATATATAAGGGGACAAAAATATAACATTTACTCCCTTTTCATTAAAAAAATTTTTTTGGTAATATTGGAGACATGGATCTTTGCATTATATATCAAGGATAAAAATGCAATTCGTAAAAAATTGATTTTTGATTGCATTTTTCAATCAATCGATCAAAAAAAATGAATCAACTAAACCGAAAAATGTTTGAGCAAAAAAACTTCATGTTCTGTAATTGCGGTATATTATCAAACTTACATTCGTTCCACGTGTTGCCGGAACCATAGCACTTGGTGGTTTTCCTCTTGTGCATAGATCTTCCCAAAATTCTTCTCAAATACAAATTAAAGCACTACTTACTCACATACTTACGCCTGTTACCGCTATTGAAGCATAGGCGGCCCACTAGTTTTCTCCAACCAACTCTGTCCTGGGCTACCCTTTCCAGTTTTGTCCAATTTTCGTTCATTCCTCTCATATCTTTCTCTATTTCTCGGCATAATGTGTTCCTTGGCCTTCCCCTTTTCCTTTTGCCTTGAGGGTTCCATGTGAGGGCTTGTCTCGTGACGCAGTTAGGTGCTTTTCGTAGTGTGTGTTCTATCCACTTCCACCGCTTCTTCCTGATTTCCTCCTCCACTGGAATCTGGTTTGTTCTTTCCCACAGTTCGTTGTTGCTGATGGTGTCTGGCCAACAAATCCGAAATATTTTGCGAAGACAACTGTTAATAAACACTTGTATCTTGTTGATGATGGCTTCGGTAGTTCTGCAAGTTTCCGCTCCATACAGTAGAACTGTCTTGACATTTGTATTGAAAATCCTGATTTTGGTTTTGGTTGAAAGTTGTTTGGAGTTGCAGATATTTTTCAACTGTAGAAACGCAGCTCTTGCTTTGCCGATCCACACCCTCACATATGCATCAGATCCACCTTTCTCGTCGATGATGCTGCCCAGATATGTAAAGGTGTTAACGTCCTCCAAGGCATCTCCATCAAGAGTGATTTGGTTGGTGCATGTTGTGTTGCATCGGAGAATTTCGCTTTTTCCTTTATGTATGTTGAGACCTACTGCTGCAGAGGCTGCTGCTACACTGGTCGTCTTCTCTTGCATTTGTTGTTGCGTGTGCGAAAGAAGAGCCAGGTCATCTGCGAAGTCCAGATCGTGCAGCTGCGTCCTAACTGTCCACTGAATACCGTGCTTCCCTCCAGACGTCGACGTCTTCATAATCCAGTCGATGACCAGGAGAAAGAGAAAGGGTGAGAGTAAGCAACCTTGCCTGACACCGGTCTTCACCTATATATATATATATATATATATATATATATATATATATATATCTGTTGTTTAATTTTACTTGATTTTTAAGTTGATATTCAATCGATGTTTGAGATTTTAAGGATTATAAAAAGTTCTAAGAAAAACGAGTTGAAATATTATATTTCACTTCTTAAAAGGCTAGAAATGATCATTTAAATTAACTGCAACACTTTAATTCCGCCTTTTTTTAATTTTCTATGACTATTTTCTTTTTCAAAGGTAACACTGCATTACATGATTGTACAGAGAGTGGTAATTTAAAATGTTTACAATTATTGTTAAATCATCGAGCTATTATGCGTAAAGATGAATATGGTCAGTTGCCAATTATGTCTGGAGCGAATGCAGCTTTTAAAAAAGTAAGTATTATAAAAAGAAATATATGTATATATATAGATATCTATTCAAAGAAATCTGATTGTCTTCCGTGGGCAATTTGATAAGATACGAAAAGAGAGATTGAGAGAGAGTGTGTGTGTGTGTGTATATCACTACTGATATTCGGGATGTGATTTCGCCCCTTGAAATGCAAAATGTTGCTTTAAGATTGGATTGTGACAACACCGGAACTAGTGATAGAGAGTGAAGTAGTTGAGCGTGTTACTTATCTTGATAGTCTCATTAGTGCTGATGGCGAAATTGCAGCACGGATACAGAAAGATCGATTAGCTTTTGTCAACTACTGGCGTCACTTATGGCGTAGGCGAGATATCCGTCTGCTAACCAAACGATGAGTCTACTGCGCATCAGTTACGTACGCTTAACCACCAACTTCCTCGGCTTGCAATGTTGTCTGGTTTAGAGGAGTAGGTTGAAAGAAAGCTAGGCGCAGCCAAACGAATATATTGCACATATCCATGAAGTCCCTGACACGTGGACTGAACCATGTTGGTAGATTTAGACTACGTGATTGAGGTCCGCGAGATCAAAGTCACCGATAGTTAGAGACCTTGAATGACATCGCTCAGAATCATTTGCAATGGCGCAGATGCATCCACTCTTTGTGTTCTCTCTAATTCTAATCTTCTGGATTCCTCGTAATCTCCATCTTTCTCTTTCTAAATTTATCTTACTGAATTGTACTTCTCAAATCATATCTTCGCTCCCTAATCTTCTCCATTACTGCTCATACTTCTACTATCACTATCACTCTTGGATTTGAACTGACAGTTACGTCTCTGTGCTGATGGGGAATGACAACCTGAACTTATGCACTTACATACGAAGTTCTACGTTGTAACTGACTGACTGAAATAATAGTCGGAGGTCATAACCAACAGTGATACTACTGTCAATTTTTGTTGGATATTTTGTTAATGTATTTAAGTGCATCATTGCTGTTGCAAAAAGACATCCAAATATTCATTTACCACACATATCAGCTACCCAAACCGAATCAGGTGGTTTTCTTAGGAGATCACTGTGTCAGTCAGTCAGTCAGATGCAACGTAGAACTTTGTACATAAGTACATCAGTTCATGTTGCCATAACTTATCAGCACAGAGATATAATTGTCAATTCAAATCCAATAGTAGATGAAGTAGTAAAGGTATTAGAAGTAATCGGAGAGGTTAGGATTAGAACATATTATTCAAGAAGTATGATGATTCAATGAGAAAAGTTTAGAGAGTCGAAACTAGAGGTGTTGAAGAATCCAGAAGATTAGGGTTTGAGAGAACACAAAGAATAAATGCACCGGCGCCATTGCAAACGATTTTGAGCCATGTCATTCAAGGTCTCTAACCATCGATTATTATCATCTCGTGGACCCCAACCAGGTAGTCGACAATTACCGACATGGCTCAGTTCACTTGTCAATGACTTCATGGATTTCTGCCATGTTTTGGCCCCCCCCTAACTTTCTTCCAACCTATTCCTACACCACAAAACAAAGTTCGTCGAGGCAGTCGGTGGTTAGGCATACGCAAGACATGTCCCAACCACCTCAACTGATGAAGTTTCACCACTTCATCTATTGCTCTCCCATCGTTACCTGGTACTCGTTTCCTAACGACAGCATTGCTCACTCGGTTGTCCCAGGATATACGAGCAATGCTTCGAAGACACCTATGATCGAAAACCAATAACCTACGAATATCTTCTACTCTCACTGGCCATGTTTCACAGCCATATAGGAGAACAGAGCGAACTGCTGCACAGTACACTCGTCCTTTGATTAGAGAACGGATATCACGCCTACGCCATAAGTGACGCAGGTTGGCAAAAGCCAATCGAGCCTTCTGTATCCGAGCTGAGATTTCGTCAGTCACCAGACCGTCAGCACTGATGAGACTCCCAAGATAAGTGAAGTAATCAACACGCTCGACTACTTCACTCCCTATCACTAGTTCAGGTGCCGATGCAACCCAGTCTTGAAGCAACATTTTGCATTTCGAGGGGGAAAACCGCATCACGAACATGCTTGCATTGTTGCTTAGGGTAGTCAGAAGACTCTGCATTTTGTCAGCATCTTCACCAAGTAGGACTATGTCGTCGGCATAGTCTAAGTCAATGAGCGAGCCACCTGGTAGAAGGTCTACTCCAGAAAATTCAGACGAGGACAATGTTATGTCAATCACTGTGTGGTTGAGTTTCGTTCTCTGAGTTGGCTATTATGATTGTGGAGCTCTCATCGTTCTTCTGAACAACATTATCAGTGCAAACTTCAGATAGAAGTAGCATCTCAGTTTTGCTGGTCTCTCACATTGTACGAACATCTCATATGCCTAAATTAATGATTGTTCTTGTTGTCAGAAGAAGCATTGGCCTTGTGACTGCCGAAGGAATTCGGCTATCATCATGAGACATCATAACCATTCTGAATGAAGACCTAACTCTCAGGGCAGAATGAAAATGGTTTGAATTATTTTTCCTTGTTATCGTTCCCTTTAGTGAGTGAGTGAGTGAGGTCGCTAATCCCTATGCTCAATCCTTCTTCTTCTTTATCCCGGGTTTTGGGATCGATAGTGACCGTAGATTGGGCCCTCAGGCGGAGTTATACATTGAACTGTGATGAATCTTTAATAGGAAAACATCATACTCATCCTAGATTAATCTATTGATTCTATCTTAAAAGCCCAAACTTGATATATATATATATATATATATATATATATATATATATATATATATATATAAATAACCATAATGATTCTCTTGACTCTATTAATAAATAGATTGTAGATTATTTGGCTACTGTTGAAATACCAGATACAACACAAACAATTAGTATAAGTGAAAAAGCTGCTGCTTATGATTTACTCGGTGCTAGTTTATTTGATCGACATTCACTTATTCAAGATGCAATTGCTGCTTGGTATCATGCAATTAATTTACGTCAAGAATTGTCTACTTATACTAATAATAGTAATGCGAATGGGAATGGGAATAATAAATTCAATCCACATCCTATACCACAATGTTCGTGTATGAATGAATTCATGAATTCCAGCACTGAAGAGCAGCAGCAGACAATGCCAACAATGAAATCCTCAACGACATCAGCAACCACAACAACAACCGGCTCTACTGTGAATACACCAACAAATTGTTGGTCATTAATTTCATTAGCTGCACGTGAAGCCATTGGAATGGCTGAAATGAATCGATTCGATGAACAATATCATTATTCCTCCGCCTCGCCACCGTCAGCCTCCTCCTCACCATCGTCACCATTCAATGGTCAACGTTATAAAATATCTACAAGAATTCATTCAATTTTATCAAAAAATCATTCGTGTACAATCATTCCTCATTCTCCGCATCATAATCGATTAAATAATGAGATTGAGAATGATAACAATGACGGTGACGATCATTGTCGTCATCGATCAACACCGCCAACAACTGTACAACACATATCCAAACTAAACATTTCACCAAATCTGCATGAATTATTTCAACGAAAGCATGCAAAATTACAAATTGATTTACAAAATGCTTATCAATGTAAATTTGAACATTTAGGTCATTCATTGTATCGATTGAATAGTTTATCAAAAGATTACAATAATTTCGATGTTCAATCACCGTCCGCGTCAGCGTCAGCGTCGTCGCCACCATTTTGTTCGGTATTTCTTCAAGGTTCACCTAATTCACGTTTAAGTGGTCTACGTCGTAATGGTTCCAGTGAGTATTTTGATCAATCTGCTCTTGTGAATCCGATTGCATCGCCAACCCCTTCATCGTCGTCATCCTCGTCATCAACATCATCATCGACTTCTACAAATTTCACATTATCCTTATCCTCTTCTTCATCACCTCTACCAACAACCACTGCAACCACTGCAACAACAACACCAGCGCCTCCTCATCATCATTCGATGAACAGTAGTTGTACTAGTGGCGGTGTTCTCGCTGGTGGTGGTGGCTGTGGTGTTGGTGCTGTTGGTGTTGGCAACGCTTTCATTCCATCGATTATACCTGTTGATCCAATATTAGGCTTTGAACCGAAATGTTTTCAAATTGCACGTTATCGTCGATGGCCATTAGAACCGTGTATTTATCAAAATTCTCATGTGAAATCATCATCAACCACAATTACTCATCACAATACTACTACTAGTAATAGTAGTACTAGTAGTAGCCTATCGAATAATAGACATACACAAAGTTTTATTCCATCCAAATGTATTCATCAATGTCCTAATTGTAAACGAATATTGGTTTCAATGAATAGTGTATGCTTAAATACAGAAAGTTTACATTCAAATCAATCTATTTGTTGTCCAATTTGTAAAACACAATTCATCAGCAGTATCAGCAGCATCATTACCAATCATCCAACTTGTAAGTTGTTATGTGTATATGTAGAATGTTTTTTCCTGTTTACTATGACTGCTTTTGAAAAGGGTACTCTTTGGTAAGGATGAGAAATCAATTGATGAAGTAGTAATTGTTCATCAGATGAGGTGATGGAGTGATGTGGTACGTACGTACGTACGTACGTACGTACGCCCAGCTACCGACTGCTCCGATGAGCGATGATGCCTTGTGTACTACGGGTAGGTGCGGCCAAAGCAATCTATGGCACAAATCCATGAAGTGATTGACAAGAGGACTGAAACCTCTAAAGCAAAGTAGAGCAGCAGGTCCTGATAGACTGACCCCTGAGATGTTTAAGGATGATGGTCCAGTTTTAACTGTTAGACTGACCGAGATCCTACGTACAATCTGGGAACTGGACGTAATCCCATCTGACTGTTCTCAGTCGCTAATTGTCCCAATCTACAAGAAAGGATAAAAGTGCTCTTGTGACAATCACAGGGGAATAAGTCTAACTAATATAGTTTATTAACTGTTAGCCTCGATTATACTTAGACGTCTAACTAGAGCTCGTGAAGAGCAGACTAGAGAAAACCAGTCTGGTTTTCGACCTGGACGTGGTTGTATAGACCACATCTTCACACTGCGACTGAATTATACTTCTTGAATAATATCTTCGAACCCTAGTCTTCTTCATTACCATTAATACCTCTACTATCTTGATCACTATGGGATTTGATTTGACATTTGCGTCTCTGTGTTAATGTGGTATAGCAACATGAACTGATGTACATACGTACGAAGTTCTACGTTGCAACTGACTGACTGACAAGAGGACTGAGTCATGTTGGTAGATATAGACTAACCTGGTTGGAGTCCGTATGACAACAGTAGCTGGTGGTTAAATACGTTGAATGACATGACTAAAAATCGTTCAGAGTGTCACAGAAGCATCCATTCTTTGTGTTCTGTCAAATTCTAATCTTCCGAATTCCTCATCAGCTTTATCTTTCTGTTTTTCTAACTTATGTGTTTGTCAAATCACATTTTCAACTCCTTGTGTTTTGATTACCACCAATACTGCTACAACATGTACTACTACTATGGAATTTGGACTGACAATTTCATCTCCTTGTGCTCATGTGGTATGGCAACTTGAACTGATGTGTGGTACGTACGTATGAAGTTCTATGTTGAAGACATCTGAGTATCATTCATTGTGTTTAACTATCCTTCTAATGTGTGTGATATCTAATCGGTTTATTCTTTAAGAATTTTCACGATAGATTAGAGTGCAAAGGTTTGTGTTAATAAAACAGATTGACCTTCAACTATCATCCTCATCATCATTATCAATCGGTTGTAAGTTCGAATTCCAACCTGATCTATTTTGATTTAATCCATGAAGTGCAGTAGTAGTATCGTTATGTATTGTTATGCATGCACGTAAACAGATCAATTTGATATGCTTGAACTATTACGAGTTTACCTGTTAGGATATTCATCCAATATCCTAAGAGAATTATTAGTCAAATTCTATTGGTCGATTTCTATTGGTCAAAATTATGGTCGTTTTAACTGTCAAAGTCAAATACTTCAATGTTGTCTCTTATTAGTCATCCGGACTGGCAATGTCACTTCCTATTGGTCGTCTTAACTCTCAATGTCACAGACTTCGATGCTGTTTCCTATTCGACCAAAATGTATAGATACGCATTATCTGTAACATTTTATGACCACGGCCAGGACCAGGGTTCCGTCCTGAATCCCTAGTCCGAGGTCCTGATTTTCTTCTGGATTAGGAGCTCGTACTTTCTGGATGCTTGTAGAATACACGTTCTACTTCATATCAAGTCTTCTTATTTTTACTCATTATGGGGGGGGGGGCTGGGATAATTGGATTTGAGTAGTATATCGTATTATTGGATCCTCTATCCTCGCTCTCGTTTTTCCGACTAGGTAAACTCGTAATAGTCGAAGTATATCAAGTTGACGTGTTTACATGCAGGCGTAACATAACCTTGGTCGGAAAACGAGAGCGAGGACCTGGCGACACGACAGGCTAGTCTAATCCTATTGCCCTAACTCCCTCATTAAGTAAAATAAGAAGACTTGATATGAAGTAGAACTTATATTCTACAAGCATCCACCAGAAAGTACGAGATCGGAATCCAGAAGAAGCTAAGGTTCTCTGACCAAGGATCTGGGTCTGGGTCCGGGCCATAAAACGTCGACTAGGAAACAACATTGAAGTCTGTGACATTGACAGTTGTTGGTATGACCAATAGGAAACAACATTTAAAGTACGTGTATGTGTATCTTGTGTGTTTGTGTTTTTCTACAACAAGAGCGAATATCTCAACAACTACAACTACAACAACCACAAAACCATTAACAAACCTGTTACAGTCAGTCAGTCAGTTGCAACGTAGAACTTCGTACGTAAGTACATCAGTTCATGTCACCATACCACATCAGCACAGAAATGTTATTGTGAATTCTAAGCCAATAGTAGAAGAGTTAGTAAGGGTATTAGAAGTAATCGGAGAGGTTAGGATGGGAAGATATTATTCAAGAAGTATGATTTAATGAGAAAAGTTTAGAAAGTCAAAACTAGAGATGTTGAAGAACCCAGAAGATTAGGATTTGAGAGAACACAAAGAATAAATGCACCGGCTCCATTGCAAACGATTTTGAGCCATGTCATTCAAGGTCTCTAACCATCGATTATTGTCATCCCGCTGACCCCAACCAGGTAGTCGACAATTACCGACATGGCTAAGTCCACTCGTCAATGACTTCATGGATTACTGCCATGTTTTGGTCTGGCCGCCCCTAACTTTCTTCCAACCTATTCCTACACTACAAAATAAAGCTCTTCGAGGCAGTCGGTGGTTAGGCATACGCAACACATGTCCCAACCACCTCAACTGATGAAGCTTCATTACTTCATCTATTGATCTGCCATTCTTACCTAGCACCCGATTTCTAATAATAGCATTGCTCACTCGGGTACAAACCTGTTACAAACAAAAATAAACTTATGTGTACGTCAACCTGTTGTTTACTTGAATATCGAACTAATTTCATCATATAGTAAATAGAAAAATGAAAATTCTTAAAATTAGCTTTACAAATTTCGCTTATGAGATAGATACATGTACACACATGCACCACACTCACACCCGCACACACACACACACGCGTGCGCACAATTTCATCATTCTAAATATGAATATGAATATTTATTGTTTTTCTACTCTTTTTTTTGTATTTTTTACTCCTTTCGCATATTTTAGCAAATTCTTCAATTCATAATCATCATAAGCCACCAATTCATTCAACAACAAATCAATATTCTCGAGTTGCTCATCCTTACGAGTCCAATAATGATTGGAAGTGTAGTAGTAGTAGTAGTAGTAGTAGTAGCAATAATAATAATGTGAGTTTTATGAATTGTATGTATTCAATCTAATCTATATTCAGTTAACTACTCTTTTCAGTTCTAGGTTCGAATCCCGGTGTAGTTACTTTTAAACTTGTGCAGTGTGAGAGATAGCATACTTATTTGATACAGTGTACTTGTGGAGCAATAAAAGAGTATGTTTGTATATATAAATATGTGTGTGTGTGTGACACGTAAATGAATACAACATTGTGGATGAAAGAAGTAGAGAAGCGGAAGTACAGTAAACCGATATGAATTGGATGAATGAGTTTAGTGTATAACGGATGAGAAGATTGAAAGGTGTAAGAAGGATTTGCCTATGATCAATCTGGTCTCATGTGCTGTTATGAGTATGGGGACGGATGTCACTTCCCAGATGCCCACAATGTTGAAGGGTGTTTCTTGAGGAAGCTGAAAGCGAAGTTGGATTTGTGTTGGTCTTTGTGACCTGGTAACCTGACCGCAGAGCCCAAAGGACTACTGCTTGAGGCCGATCACGCACGGCCTTTTTATGGGATGTTTCGGAAGTGGCCTTACTGCCGGAGACGGAAATCCGTAGGGTTAGATGAGGTATAACATCATTAGGGTCGATATTTTAACCCCTTCCTCCCTTGTGATAAGGCAGCATCGCTGCAGATGCTGGTTATCCGAGGGAAACACTTTACTGCTGTCACACCCGTCTACAGTTGACAGTACCACTTTGCACTCAGACCTTGAGTTGCTACTTTTATTCTGACCGTTTTCCATTCGACCTGCCTGGTATGGTAGAATTCAAAGGAACATATGTTCCAGTCAATGTAGCTCACAACGAAAAGTGAGTAAATGTTATAATGCGCCCACATGAATTTCCGTCCCCCCAGGTGGTAAAACCTTAAAATAGTCAAAAAAATGACTGTTTAGAACTAACCAATGAAACAGCTGTTTCTTAAGTGGGTGTTGTTACCATTGCTTTTCCAGGTTGTCAAAACTATTCCTTAACCACAATTTCCTTTTACACTTGTCTCTTTTTTCACAGTATGAAAATAATTTGGACTATGTTTGTCCGGTATGTCATTTGGCCAGTGAAAATCATCCTCTCATTCGTCGTTTGAAACAATGCGGTGAAGAAGCTTTTGGACATGTGTGTGAATTTCAAACACGTGAAGATTTGACTAGTTTGATGTCCAATACACATGTTCTACGCTTACAATCATTGCTTATACGTTTACGTATATTAGGTCCAGATCATCCTGATACAATTTATTTTATTCGGTAATTTAAAGTGTTTTATTTTTAAATTTTTATTGTTGTTACGCCTTTGATAGTCAGGACAACTAATCATAAACAACATTGGATCACGTGACATTGATATCTAGGACGACCATAAAATTGACCGATAGAAATCGCCCAATAGGATTTGACCAATAATTCTCTTAGGATGTTGGATGAATATCCTAACAATTGTGCGCCTGGATATTAGTAGAAAAGACAGTGAAATAGTTGAAGGGTGTCGAATGCCTCACACACGGAGATATCATCTGTTATGACCGCATCCCAATGCAAACATGTTCGGGATGCGGTTTCCCCCCTCGAAATGCAAAATGTTGCTTCAGGACTGGGTTGCATCGGTACCTGAACCAGTGATAGGGAGAGAAGTAGTCGAGCGTGTTGACCGCTTCACTTATCTGGGGGATCCCATCAGTGCCGATGGCCTGGTAACTTACGAAATCTCAGCTCGGATACAGAAGGCTCGATTGGCTTTTGCCAACCTGCGTCACTTATGGTGTAGGCGAGATATCCGTTTGCTGACTAAAGGACGAGTGTACTGTGCAGCAGTTCGCTCCGTCCTACTGTACGGATGCGAGACTTGGCCTTTAAGAGTAGAGGACTTTCGTCGGTTACTAGTCTTGGATCATAGGTGTATACGAAGCATTGTTCGTGTATCCTGGGTCAACCGTATAAGCAATGCTGTTGTTAGGAAACGAGTTCTAGGTAGGGATAGCAAATCAATAGATGAAGTATTGAAACTTTATCATTTCAGGTGGTTAGGACATGTGTTACGTATGCCCAACCACCGACTGTTTTGACGAGCAATTTTTAATGGACTAGAAGTAGGCTGGAAGAAAACTAGGGACGGCCAAAACAAAACATCACACAAATCCATGAAGTCTCTGATAAGTGGACGTGACCTCATCCTTCAGACAATTAACTTGCTAAAAACCGACAACACATAACTTGAAACATTGTTTCTTGCCCCATTGTTCAATATAGACAATAAGATATGACAAGGCTAGGACAGTATGATTTGCACAATGCTGCCACTTTGATGAAGTAGGCTCTTCTTTTTACCGGACCACTAAAACTGTTTTTTCTGACAATCAAAGCAATAATGAATATCACGCATCATACTATAGCACATAAGTATACCCGATTGTTTTGTTGATATCCTATCAGACAGACAGACAGATACAACGCAGAACGTCGTACGTAAGTACATCAGTTCAGGTTACCATACTACATCAGCACAGAAACGCGGCTGTCAGTTCAAATCCAAGAGTGATAGCGATAGTAGAAGTATTAGCAGTAATGGAGAAGATCAGGGAGCGGAGATATGATTCGAGAAGTTTCATTCAGTAAGATAAATTTAGAAGGAGATAGGTAGAGATTATAAAGAATTCAGAAGGTTAGAATTAAAGATATCTCGCCTGCACCATAGTGGACGCAGGTTGGCAAAAGTTAACCGAACCTTCTGTCTCCGTGCTGAGATTTCGTCAGTCACCAGGCCATCAGCACTCATGAGACTCCCCAGATACGTGGAGCCGTCTACAAGCTCGACTACTTCACTCCCTATCACTAGTTCAGGTGCCGATGAAACCCAATCTTGAAGCAACATTTTGCATTTCGAGGGTGAGAACCGCATCCCGAACATGCTTGCATTGTTGCTTAGGGTAGTCAGAAGACTCTGCATTTTGTCAGCATCTTCACCAAGTAGGACTATGTCACCGGCATATTCTAAGTCAATAAGCGAGCCACCTGGTAGAAGGTCTACTGAAAATTCAGACGAAGATAAGGTAATTTCTAGAAGGACGTCTATTAAAAAATGAAACAAGAATGGAGAGAGTGGACATCCATGATGGACACAACTTGAAGTAATTAATTCCAATGACAGTTCGTCATAGGCTCTGACTCGACCGGTGGTGTTGGAGTAGAGAGCTTGTATAAGGTTAATGTACTTCTTTGGTACACATTTCAATGACAGACACTGCCACAGAACCTCACGATCCACTGAGTCAAATGCCGCTTTTAGGTCCAGCAACACAACTATTGTAGGACGCCTAAATGTGTGTCTATGTTCCAGGACCTGTCTTAGTGTGAATATGTGTTCTATACATCCACGTCCAAGTCTTAATCCAGCCTGGTTTTCTCTAGTCTGCTCTTCACAAGCACTAGTTAGGCGTCTAAGTATAATCGAGGCTAGTCAGTCAGTCAGTTAGTTGCAACGTAGAACTTCGTACGTATGTACATAGGTTCATGTTGCCATACCACATTAGCACAGAGACGCAAATGTCAAATCAAATCTCATAGTGATAGTAGAGATAGTAGAGGTATTAATGGTAATGATGAAGACTATGGGTTTGAAGATATAATTCAAGTAATATAATTCAGTGAGATAAGGTTAGAAAGACAAAAGTAGAGGTGTTTTCGATTCCAAAAGATTAGGATTTGAGAGAGCACAACGAATGGATGCACCTGCGCCATTGCAAACGATTTATTGCCATGTCATTTAAGGTCTCTAACCATTGGTGACTTTCGTCTCACGGACCCCAACCAGGTAGTCTACATCTACCAACATGACTCAGTCCACTTGTCAGTGACTTCATGGATTTTTACCATGTTTTGGTTTGGCCGCCCCTAGCTTTCTTCAAACCTACTTCTACCCCAAAAAACATATCTCGTCGAGGCAGTCGGTGGTTAGGCATACGCAGCACATCTCCCAACCACCTCAATATGTGTTATAATCGAGGCTAACAATTTACAAACTATATTAATTAGACTGATTATTCACCCGCTGTAATTGTCACAATCAATGTGTTTGTTTTCATTCCACTTGCATTTTTTTTTCCTTTCCCCATAGTTATCGTGGAGCAATCTATGCCGATGCGGATAATTTTCATCAATGTTTAAATTTATGGCGTTATGCATTAGAATTACAACGTACATTTGTTGAACCATTATGTCATGTATCACAGGCGGCATTTGTTAGTTTTGCTGAATTATTTCATTTTGTTCTAACTAATAATTGTATTGGTTTACCGGCAAATGATTTAGACCCGACATTAATTGTTGATTGTTTAGAATTAGCTATAGATAATATTGAACGGTAAGTGTTGAGCTAAGATGTGAATCATTGTGGTGGAATCTTGTTTTATTTTTGTGTTATAATGCTGCTGCTATGTATAGTTCTATTCAGTCCTAGCGGCGTCCGAATTCAAATAACCCTAATACAACCCAAAATACTATTCCCTCAAATCTCCTATATATATATATCAGAATGTAACACCGTTGGATATATGGAGTTGTTTATTTGGGTTGAGTACAGAAGTACCTAACTGCGTCACGAGACAAGCCCTCACATGGAACCCTCAAGGCAAAAGGAAAATAGGAAGGCCAAAGAATACATTACGCCGAGAAATACAGAAAGATATGAGAGGAATGAACAAACATTGGACAGAACTGGAGAGGGAAGCCCAGGACAGACAGAGTTGGTTGGAGAAAACTGGTGGGCGACCTATGCTCCATTGGGGGTAACAGGCGTAAGTAAGTAAGTAAGTAAGTACAGAAGAGAGGAGGTTGGCCAGGAAGAAACTGAATCGGAATCGGAATCATGAAGTCTTACAGATAGTACGTATTTATACATTTAGGTCGAATAGGAAAGAGCATCCAAAGTCTGTGACATTATTGATAGTTTTTGGACGACGACCAATAGGAAAGAACATTTGAACTGACCAATAAGAGACAACATTGAAGTATTTGACTTTGACAGTTAATAAAACGATCATAATTTTGACCAATAGAAATCGACCAATAGGATTATACTTCCAAAAATAGTAGTACTCTTAGGATATTTGATGAATATCCTAACAGTTTTTTTTTCGAACTGTGAGGTGTAGTCAAAAATGTCAGTGTCGTTGGCATCTGAACCAGTGATAATGGGGAAGTGAAGTGTAGTTAAGCGTATCGACCGTTTCGTTTATCTCGGAAGTCTCTCGTCAGCAGTGCTGATAGCCTGGTGTGGGGCGGAAAAGTCAGTATGGATACAGAAAACTCGATTGAGTCTTGCCGATTTGTAGCGTCACTTATGGCGTAGGTGAAATATCTGTCTGCTAACCAAATGACAAGTTTGCTGCTCAGCAGTTCGCTCTATCCTACAGATACAACACAGAACTTCGTACGTATGTACATCAGTTCAGGTGGCCGTACCACATTAGCACAGAGACGCCACTGTCAGTTCAAATCACATAGTGGTAGCGATAGTAAAAGTATTAGCAGTGATGGAGAAGATTAGGGTATAGTTCAGTGAGATAAAGTTAGAAAGAGAAAGATTGAGATAATGAGGAATGCAGAAGGTTAGAATTTGAGAGAACTCGAAGAGTGGATGCACATGCGCTATTGCAAACCATTTTGACCTATCTCATTCGAGGTCTGCCATATTGTTCAAGGTCTCAGAGGTATAGAAAGGATTTGATTGTGACCAATTTGATCTCGTGTGCTTTTTTGGTATAAGGTCCGATGTTACTCCCGGGTTGCCCACACCTTGGAACGGTGTTTCTTGAGAAACCTGAAAAGGAAGGTAGATTAGTGTTGGTCTTAACGACCTGGGAGCGTGACCGCAGAGTTCAAGGGACAACTGCACGCTCAGCCTTTTTATGAAAGGTTTTTTGAGTATTAGCTCCGCTCTTTTTAAAGCCCTTGGTGAATAGCCCTTACCGCCGGAGACGGAAATCCGTGAGGTAAGGTGAGGTGTTATATTTTAAGGGTTGACCTTTTCTAACCCTTCCTTCCTTGTTAGAAAGCAGCATCGCTGCCGATGCTGGTTGTCCGAGGGAAACACCTTACTGCTGTCACACCCCTTCATCACAGTCAGCAGTACGACTTCGCCCTCAGACCTTGGGTAACTGCTTTTAGTCTCACCACCCTCCAATCGACCAGCCGGGCATGGTAGAACCTTCAGGAACACACGTTGCAGCCAATATAGCTCGCGGTTGGGTCATCACGATAGGCAATCCCGACCACCACGTCAAGGTGGCAGCTACGGCCGGGCTCTATCCTACCCTATGGCTATGAGACATGGCCAGTTAGAATCGAGGATATACTGGTTTTCGTTCATATATGTCTTGGAAGCATTGTTGGTTTATTCAGAGACCACCGAGTAAGCAATGCTGGGGTTAAGAAAAGTGCTAAGTGGGGATGACAAATCAGTTGAGATGGTTGGGAAATGTGTTACCTATGCCCAACCACACTGATTGCCTCGTCAAGCGATGATACCTAGTGTAGGGATTTGAATTGACAGTTTCTTCTCTGTGTGCTAATGCAGTGTTGGGAATGTTAGATCCCCAGAACTCGCTTGATATATATATATCTTTATTTTGGATTTATTTCATGGGCTGATCAGTTGACCCTGGGATCATATTTCCCACCAGCAAAATTCTTGGCTGTGATTGGTTACTGTGTCATTTTAGTGTGCTATTTTTGTGACTGTCCCAAGGACGTCTCTATAGAATATAAATAAACGCAATTTGAGTGCTTGGATTCATTGTGTGTGCTGGCTGGGTGTTTGTAGAATACAATTTCTACACTATATCAAGACTTCTTGCTAGTACAATTGGGACAGTCGGATCAGAGTAGCCTACCTGGACGCTGGTTCAATTGTCTCGTTCTCGTTTATCGACTAAAGTGAACTCGTAATAGTTTGAAAGCATACCTAGAGACGAGCGTAACATGCAGTATATGGCAACTTGAACTGTACGTACGTACAAAGTTCTACACTATAGTGAAGTTTCAACACTCTCATTCCTGTTTTCTCTCTCTCATGTTCTCCTTTTTGCACCATTCAGTGGTATGGATTATTCATTCTATCATTGGCATCATCAACATCCATGGTCATATACAGCGGCAGATAAAGAAGCTATTAATTTAATGCGTCATGTATCATTGTGTTTACATTTTATCGCAATGATTCTTATACATTATATGTTGCCAAATTGTAAAGCTTTACCAATTCGACGTTCTCTACGACGTTGTTTGTCGAATTTAACACAAGTAGTTGATGAGAATTTCAATGATTTATTATTGCCAAACTCAACATTGAATTTATTGAATAATCGACAAGAGTTTATGATGACGGCGGCTGCTGGTACTGTCGCTGCTGATAATAATCTTAATAATACGGACTATGATACACCACAAACTAACAGTTTATCCGATGATACAAAGAAACAACGTATGCCTATTGAATTAAGACAACGATTTTTTCGTCAAGTAAGTCGATGAAAATGTATTTAGTAGTTATCTTTTGTTTTTAAAAAAATATATATGTATATAGAAATATATGTTACACATTTTTTGAAACCATGAATAGTCGATCAATGTTAGACCGACACCATTAGAAGAAACCTGGAAGAAGCACTGAAAGACGGCCGTTTCATGATCCTAGTATGGGACTACTCATCAGTGGCAGTGCGCATCCAAGACTCCTGCACCTCGCAGTGGCCTAACGGTTTGGGCGTTCGCGCACAATACCGAAGGGTTCGAATCCTGCGAGGTGCAGGTGTCGTGGATGCGCACTGCCACTGAGGAGTAGTCCCATACTAGGACCACGAAACGGCCGTCTTTCAGTGCTTCTTCCAGGTTTCTGATGGTGTTGCTCTAACATTGATTGATTCATGGTTTCAAAAAATGTGTAACTTAACAATCTGCGCAACCCCGTAATATAAATATGTGTGTATTGGGAAAGTATTGATAGGTAGATGTGTTATATGTTCAAACAGTCTGAATGGTGGGGAATGTTAGATCCTCAGAATTCACTTGATAAAGGTTTTGAAATTTTGAAATTTTACTCATGGTTACATTTCCCACTAGGAAAATCATTGACTGGGAGTAATCTATGAAGTCATTGACAACAAGTGGACTGAGTCATGTCGGTAGTTGTCGACTACCTGGTTGGGGTCCGCAAGATGATTGTAATCGATGATTAGAGACCCTGAATGACATGGCTCAAAATGGTTCGCAATGGTGCCGGTGCATTTATTCTTTGTGTTCTCTCAAATCCTAATCTTCCGGATTCTTCAAAACCTCTACCTTTCTTTCAAACCTTATCTCAATGAATCATACTTCTTGAATAATATCTTCTAATCCTAACCTCTCCGATTACTTCTAATACCCTCTTCGATTGTTGGATTTGAATTGACATTTGCGTCTCTGTGCTGATGTGGTGTGGCAACATGAACTGATGTACTTACGTACGAAGTTCTACGTTGCATCTGACTGACTGGGATTGGTTGATTTGTTATTTTAGTGTGCTATTTTTGTGCCTCTCTCAAGGACGTCTCTATGATGTATACATAAGCGCGATTCTAGGTGCTTGTAGAATACACTTTCTACTCCATATCAAGACTTTTTCTTCAGTTCGTTGGGTCAGCGAATCAGAATAGCGTATCTTGTCACTGGTTCATTATCTCGTTCTCGTTTATCGACTAAGGTGAACTCGTAATGGTTTCAAGCAGATCAAGAGACGAGCATAACAGTGTGTGAAACTATCATCGATTTTGATATGTAACACCAATGGCTGTCGTAGAGTCAGTCAGTCAGTTACAACGTAGAACTTCGTACGTAAGTATATGAGTTCAGGTTGCCATACCGCATTGGCATATTGACGCCATCGTCAGTTCAAATCCCATAGTGGTAGAGATAGTAGAGGTTTTTGCAGTAATGGGGAATATTAGGGTTCGAAGATGTGATTCGAGTGTTTGTTTGAGGCTTACTAGACGTAGGAAACGTGTTAGGGTTCTACGTAGTGATAACATAACTAAGGATATACTTCAGGAGCATCTAGAAAGACAATTAGGTATCTATGTAATTGATTCCCATCAGGAGACAGCTTGGAATGATATCAAAAAGGTAACATCGCTTCAGATGCTGGTTGTCCGAGGGAAACACCTTACTGCCGTCACATCCCTCTACAGTCAGCAGGACGACTTCGTCCTCAGACCTTGAGTAGCTACTTTTAGTCTCATCGTTCTCCAATCGACTTGCCTGGCATGGTAGAACCTTCAGGAACATATATTCTAGTCAGTATAGCTCGATTGGGTCATCACGATAGGCGAGCCCGACCACTACTTCAAGATAGCAGCTACGGTCGGGTCTAATAACATATTTCACCTCTGTTCTTATCTGTATTCCGAACTTTTTTTCATATTTTTTGATATATGAATGAAGCTCTGAACTTGATTGTTTAAAATTTAGTAAATATTACTTACATAAAACTAATTTTATTCAAATTGGTGGTATAAACGTTAAAAGCGAATTATTTTGCTTGATACCAAATATATCATACGATACAATAATATCTATCATACGACAAATCGATTTGGGAACAATAAAATCATGCACTTTGTCATCACAGATCACACTAGATTACATCATCTGATTTACAGACACAGTATCATCGCCCCATTTATTGATGATAAACTATTGATAATTTATCTAAACCGAAATAGCCTTTTTACTAGTATGACTATGAAATACAGTCGAGTAAAATTGATTTACAATGTTAAAATAACAAAGTTCTGGTCCATTAAAAATCAACCGCCGATCATTCGACGTATTACTGATATGACATCAGTGTAATTTGAACTATTTGATATTTTAGGGTTATCCATTTACCCAGTAAATTTATACCGCAGTTAACTTTAAACCACATGCTCTGAACGAAGGATTATTTAACTGGGACTAATTTGGTCTCGTGTGCTGTTACAAGTATGAGGGCAGATGTCATTTTTCGGATGTTCACTCCGTAGAATAGTGTTTCTTAAGGGATCTGAGAGCGAAGTTGGATTAGTGTCGGTCTTAGAGATCTGGGTGTGTGACTGTAGAGCACAGTGGCCAACTATTTGAGACCGGTCACGCGCAGCCTTTTTATGATAAGATTGTTAATATTTAGCTCCGTTCTTGTTTAAAAGGCCTTACCGCCGGAGACAGAAATCCGTGAGGTAGGGTGAGGTGCGACATTTTTAGAGTCGACCTTTTCTAACACCTTTCTTTCATTGTGAGTAGGCAGTATTGCTGCAGACGCTGGTTATCCGAGGGAAACATCTTACTGCTGTCACACCCCTTTACAATCAGCAATACGACGTCGCCCTCAGACCTTGAGTAGCTGCTTTTAGTCTCATCGTTCTCCAGTAGACCAGCCTGGTATGGTAGAACCTTCAGGAACATATGTTCCAGTCAATATAGCTCAGTTGAATGATCAGAATAAGCAAACCTGTTACGCCTGCACGTAAACACGTCAACTTGATATACTTCAACTATATTACGAGTTTACCTTAGTCGGAAAACGAGAACGAGCATCGAAGATCCGGCGACACGACATACTATTCTAATCCGATTATCCCAACCCCCATAGCGACTAAAAATAAGAAGACTTGAATGTGAAGTAGAACCTGTATTCTACAAGCATCCAGAAGGTACGAGGTCCGAGTCCAGAAAAGAATCCGGATCCCGGACTAGGGATCCGGGTCCTGGTCCTGGTCGTGGTCATAAAATGTTACATATAATGCGTATTTATACATTTTGGTCGAATAGGAAACAGCATCGAATTCTGTGACATTGACAGTTAAGACGATCAATAGGAAGTAACATTTGAAGTGAGATTGATAGTCAGGACAACCAATAAGAAACAACATTGGAGCACGTGACATTGATATCTCGGACGTCCATAAAATTGACCAATACGAATTGGCCAATAATTCTCTTAGGATATTGGATGAATATCTTAACAAAGCCCGACCATCACATCAAGGTAGCCACAACGATCAGGGAAACTGAAGTTCGACTCAAACTTGCACTTCATACTGGAATTGTTCGATTCGCGACATCGTAACTCCTCCGAACATCCGTCTAACATTGATAAATAAGTTCATGATTTGAATGAAATAAAAACAACAAATATTGTTATGCATCGCAAAGTGTTTTAAGCACGGTATCAACTGGACAGTTAGGACGCAGCTGGACGATCTGGACTTCGCAGATGACTTGGCTCTTCTATCGCACATGCAACAACAAATGCAAGAGAAGACGACCAGTGTAGCAGCAGCCTCTGCAGCAGTAGGTCTCAACACACATAAAGGAAAAAGCGAAATTCTCCGATGTAACACGACATGCACCAACCAAATCATTCTTGATGGAGATGCCTTGGAGGACGTTAACACCTTTACATATCTGGGCAGCATCATCGACGAGAAAGGTGGATCGGACGCAGATGTGAGGGCACGGATTGGCAAAGCGAGGGCTGCATTTCTACAGTTGAAAAATATCTGGAACTCCAAACAACTTTCAACCAAAACCAAAATCAGGATTTTCAGTACAAATGTCAAGACAGTTCTACTGTATGGAGTGGAAACTTGGAGAACTACCAAAGCCATCATCCAAAAGATACAAGTGTTTATTAACAGTTGTCTACGCAAAATACTTCGTATTCGTTGGCCAGACACCATCGGCAACAATGTACTGTGGGAGAGAACAAACCAGATTTCAGTGGGGGAGGAAATCAGGAAGAAGCGGTGGAAATGGATAGGACACACTTTGCGGAAAGCACTTAACTGCGTCACGAGACAAGCCCTCAGACGGAACCCTCTTCGTAAAAGGAAAAGAGGAAGACCGAGGATTACATTACGCCGAGAAATAGAGAAAGATATGAGAGGAATGAACAAACATTAGACAGAACTGGAGAGGGAAGCCCAGGACAGGCAGAGTTGGTTGGAGAAAACTGGTGGGCGGCCTATGCTCTATTGGGAGTAACAGGCGTAAGTAAGTAAGTAAGTATTTCAAAGTGTTTTGCACTTTTCTTTTCTTATCATAAATCAATACTCTATTTACTTGTGTATACTCAGTCTAATTTAACATTAATTTTTTTTTCAATCATAATTATTTAGGTGTATAGATTAGTGAAATTAGATCCTCGTGTACATCGTGGTCAAAGTTTAATTCATTTAGCTTGTTCACCTGAAACATCAACTGTTGGTCGTTTTGTAATTTGTACATTTCCAAATGTTCATGTTTTGTCATTGCTGTTTGAATTAGGCGCTGATGCAAATTGTGCTGATGTAGATGGACAACGTCCAATTGGTCATGTATTAGCACAACGTCGATTAAAAAGTTCCGAACATGTAAGGTGTATTATGATTATTACCGTTATTATTATTTTTGAATAAGGTACCTTTATTTAAAGTTGAATTTTATTTAGTTAAAGATTTTCAATACTTACGCGTATTACCCTCAATGCAGTTATTGTAGACCGCCATTCAACATTCTGTAACCTACTCTTTCCTTGAGCCCCTTCATTTTAGTTACATCCATCCTTCTTGTGTCTGTTCACATTTCTCGGTGTAATGTGTTTCTTAGTCTATCTGTTTTCCGTTGGACATGAGGATTCTAGGTGAGGACTTGTCGTGTGACACAGTTCGGTGCTTTCTTCAATGTGTGTGTCCTATCCACTCTCAGCGCTTCTTCTAATGCAACCTGTCTTGTTTTCTACCAATGTAGGTTGTGGCTTATAGTGTCTGACCAATGGATCTGAAGTATTTTGCGTAGACAACTGTCAATCAACACTTGTATATTCTGAATGATGACTTTCATGGTTCTCCGAGTTTTAGTCCTATACAGTTGAGAACCGTGTTGACATTTGTATTGAAAATTGTGACTTTGTGTTATGAGTTGTAGATGTTCATCACGTATAGAAAGAAATGCTGCCCTGGCTTTGTCGATCTACGGCATCACAAAAATAAACTTCTCATAGTTTGTACAGTATCAATATTCACCCACATCCTTCGATGTATGACCAAATTACAACAATAATTTGATAATCAAAACAGATAAAGTACTTACTTATTACTTACTTACACCTGTTACCCCCAATTGGAGCATAGGCCGCCCACCATTTTTCTTCAACCAACTCTGTCTGTCCTGGGCTTCCCTGTCCAGTTCTGTCCAATGTTTGTTCATTCCTCTCATATCTTTCTCTATTTCTCGGTGTAACGTATTCTTTGGCCTTCCTCTTTTCCTTTCGCTTTGAGGGTCCCATGTGAGGGTTTGTCTCGTGACGTAGTTGGGTGCTGTTGGTAATGTGTGTCCTATCCACTTCCACCACTTCTTTTTGATTTCCTCCTCCACTGGAATCTGCTTTGTTCTCTCCCACAGTACGTTGTTGCTGATGTTGTCTGTCCAACGAATCCTCAGTATTTTGCATAGACAACTGTTGATAAACACTTGTATCTTCTGGATGATGGCTTTGGTAGTTCTGCAAGTTTCCACTCCATACAGTAGAACTCTGTCTTGACATTTGTATTGAAATAGTCTTGCAGTCTCCCACAATGTACGAAGGTTCGATGTACCTAAATAAAATGGTTGCTCTGGTTGTTGTCAGAAGAGGCATCGGCCTCGTGACTTCCGAGGGAACTCAGCTTTCATCACGCGACGTCATAATTATTCTTGCAACTCCTAGGGCACAATTAAAATGGTTTGGATTATTTTTTCCTGGTTAGCATTTTTTTGGCAAGTTATTTTTTTGACGGAATAGGGTCGCCGACCCCATCCCCAACGCTCCTCCTTTAATCCGGGCTTAGGACCGTCAGTGTAGCCTCGACGGTTTCTAGTGGCGGAGTTAAAACTGATAAAGTGCTCAATCCATTTTAGCAATTTGTATAACATAAAAGTGCTGGTTATTCATTATTATCCAAAATGAAACATGATTGACTTGAGAGTTCACATTGATAAATATATAGGATGATGTAGTCTGAGCAGTCATTTAATTTGTAAATGATATTTGGTTTTTCTTCCTTTGTCATTTTGTCCTTTGGTCAACATAAGATTGATTGAAATGATTCTGTTGGTTTGTGTTCCACATTGATTCCAAATGTAGCCATGTTGTAACGTCCAATATGCCTTTTATGTATAGTAAGATGATCCGTTTATTGGTTTCTGTACTTGATTTCTGTTCTGTTGACGAATGTGTCGTCTACATTCGTCATTACCAAAAAGAACGAGCTGGAAAACACCTACAATCGGATCAACAACGTCTTCGATGACTTAAAATTCACCATGGAAAAGGAATCAAACAACAGTCTATCATTCCTGGATATACTAACCATCAGAACTAACACAGGAAAACTGGAGAGTCAAGTATTTCGGAAGCCACCCCACACATACGTAATTCTCAACTACGATAGAAACAACAACCCAAGAACCTACAAAATCAACTGCATATAAACTTTGTTCAAAAGTGCGAAGACACACTGCAACACACGTGAAACACTCACAAAAAAGCGAGGAAAAACATCTTGTGACTATCTTCCACAAGAACAGCTATCCACGCAACTTCACTTCTACTATCTGAAGTTTGTGTACATCCAACTCAGAGAACGAAACAGTCACAATTTAAAAAAATCATTGGACATTCGATCACCACCTACTAACTGATAATTGACAACTCTCTCTTTAATGTTCATGTTTTTTTTCTTGTTTCTATTTAACTACTAGGCTTCTCTTATACAAACTTTGGTCAAATGTGGTGCACATCTAGATGCAACCAATCGTAATTCATTAACTATCCTTTATAAACGTTTTCATCATGTCCTTCTGGAATCTCGTGTCCCATTGTTGGATCATGTAACACTGGCTTGTCGTGCTGCTCGTGTAGCGAATCATTACGGATTGACAGCATCGAATCCATCGGTACAAGCGTATTTACCAAATAATCTATTAGGTTTTTTACAAATGCATCAGTAAAAATAAAAACAATGACAACAACCTACATGTATATTTTGGTCGGTTGGTGATGTTGTTGATCGGATAATGGTGTGTTGGTCGATGTGTGTGTGTGTCACAAAACAATCTTCATTACTTACTTGGTTGTTCCCCTTCCCCTCCCCCCTTCCCTGTCACCTAATCGCCCCCGTCTCCTCCATTGATCTACTCAAATTTTAATCCAACTACTACTACTAATCTCATAATAATAGTAGTAACGGATAGCATTATTGTTTTTATGAATTGCACAATATTTTTGTGTACACAACAATTGTGTTTTCTATATATATATATACATACATCTATCTATATTTATTTGTTTATATTATAGTTGGTAATTAATCGTTTTTGTATACCTATAAATTGTTATTTGTTCTACTGTTTCTCGACTGAACATCCTCGACGCACGTACGCACACACTCAATCGCACATACACACACTCGTTACACTCACCGCGCCCACACCAATCGCTATCTATCTATCTATCTATCCTGCACAGTGTTCCAACGGTACTGCCAACAGTGCGTGTTTGTGTGTTTGTGTGTAGATGTTCAATTAATTTTTTGTTTTTTTCTAAATAAACAATGATGATTATGTCAATGATTTAAATTCTTATCTCCTCTTTTTCTTCTCATGATTATGTGTATGTTTTATGATTATTTATTTATTTATGGATGAAGCCCATGAGATTGGTTTACTGTGATTCAATACCTGTTTATTATTATGATTATTATTACTCCTATTTTTCTCATTCTCCTCTATCTCTTCCACTCTCTGTTTTTTTATTTTCGTACTACTACTACGCACATCACATAGTTATGTTTTTTCGTCTTTCTGTTCTTGTCTTTCTTTATGTACAGCAGATTGTTTTTGCATACTGTGTGTGTGTGTAGAGAGAGAAAGAAAGAGATGGTGGACACAGACAGACAGACAGACAGTAAGATATAGAATGTAATTCGGTTGTGTTTAATTGATGAAGAAGAAAAATATATATATAAATATTACATTATTTGTCGTCTTTTTTGTGTATATATTGTTACGCATGCATGTAAACAGATCATTTTGATGATATGCTTGAACTATATATAATACGAGTGTACTTTTAGTCGGGAAACGAGAGCAAGGATTAAGGAGGATCCGTTTGACACACCAGGGAGGCTACTGGAATCCGATTGTCCCAACTTCGTCACCCCCCCCCGATTGAGTAAAAGAAGACAAGACTTGAATGTGAAGTAGAACCACCGGTATTCTACAAGCATCCTGAAAGTATACGAGGTCCAAGTCCAGAAGAGGATGAGGATCCGAGTCCGATCAGCAGGAAACAACATTTGATAGTCAGGACGACCATAATATTGACCAATAATTCTCTTAGGTTATTGGATGAATATCCTAACATATTTAAAGCATGAATGTATGTCAGTCAGTCAGTCAGTCAGTTGCAACGTAGAACTTCGTACGAATGTACATAAGTTCATGTTGCCATACCACATTAGTACATAGACGCAAATGTCAAATCAAATCCCATAGTGATAAAGATAGTAGAGGTATTAATGGTAATGAAGAAGACTAGGGTTTGAAGATATTATTCAAGAAGTATAATTCAGTGAGATAAGGTTAGAAAGACAAAGGTAGAGGTGCTGGCTAATCCAGAAGATTAGGATTTGAGAGAGCTCAAAGAGTGGATGCACCTGCGCCATTGCAATCGATTTTGAGCCATGTCGTTCAAGTTCTCTAACCATTGATGACTTTTGTCTCGCGGACCCCAACCAGTTAGTCGACAACTACCGACATGATTCAGTTCACTTGTCAGTGACTTCATGGATTTGTGCCATGTTTTGGTCTGGCCGCCCCTAACTTTCTGCCAACCTATTCCTACACCACAAAACATGACTCGTCGAGGCAGTCGGTGGTTAGGTATCCGTAACACCCAACCACCTGAATTAATGAAGTTTCACTACTTCATCTATTGATCTGCCATTCTTACCTAGCACCCGTTGAGTAAAAGACTTGATATGAAGTAGAACCTGTATTCTACAAGTATCCCGAAAGTATACGAGGTCTGAGTCCAGAAGAGGCCAAGGATCCGGGTCTGGGTGATAAAGCGTTATAGATAATGCATATTTATATAGTTCGGTCGAATAGGAAACAACACCGAAGTCTGTGACATTGACAGTTAAGACGACCATAATATTGACCAATAATTCTCTTAGGATATTGGATGAATATCCTAACATATATAAAAAACATGAATGTATGTTGTTGTTGGTAGTGGTGTTGGCGTTAACTTGCTCCATAATCTTAGGCCGTTTAAATATAAGTTGATAATAAGAGGCTTGTGCAACGATCGCGAACATTGGTAGGTGGCGAAATCAAAAACGATGGAAAAGGTAGCGACAATAGGCAACAGTAGACAATTGTTCCGCGCCTTATAAAAGGAAACCGGTGTTAGAAGTGCATCTGTTAGCGAAACTATCCTAGGTGTAATGATGGTTGTATCATTTATTCTCAATCCAGGAGATTTGATTGATGGGCAGAACACTTTAGGGATCAATTCAATAGGCCTTCAGCCAACCTTTGGTTGTCCATGATCCCCAGTCATCCTGAATGGCAAATCGGTCTAAGTCCTCCTAGTCTTTATGAAGTTGAAAAAGCCATAGGAAATCTAAGCTGAAGTAGAGCCGCACGTCCTGTGATAGGCTAACTCCTGAGATTCTTAAGGATGGTGGTCCAGTTTTAGCACTTAGATTGACCGACCAGTAGAATCTGGAAAAACGACCTAATCCTATCTAACTGGTTTCAATCACTGATCTTCCCAATTTATAAGAAAGGACAAAAGTCTTCTTGTGATAATCACAGAGAGTTTAGTTTAACTAATATAGTTATTAAGATACTGGCTTTAATAATATTCCAACGTCCAACTGGAGATCGTGAAGAGCAGACTAAAGAAAACCAGGCTAGTTTCAGGTCTGCACGTGGCTGTATAGACCAGATATTCAGACTATGATACGTCCTGAAACACAGACACATTTAGGCGTCTGACAATAGTTGTCTTTCTTGACCTTAAAGGGGCGTTTGACTATGTCGATCGTGAGGTTCTGTGGCAGTGTCTGTCACTGAAACAAGTACCAGTGAAGTTCATTAACCTCATACAGGCTTTCTTGAACACTACTGGCCGAGATAAAGCTTATGGCGAACTGTCAGTTGGTGTCCATCAGAGTTGTCAACTTTCTCCATTCTTATTTTTAAGATAGACTTGCTTTTAGATATAACATTACCTTCGTCTGGATTTTCAGGAGTAGACCTTCTACCAGGAGACACGCTTGCTGATTTAGAATACGCTGATGACATAGTCCTATTCAGTGACTTACTTACTTACGCCTGTTACCCTCAATGGAGCATAGGCCGCCCACCAGTTTTCTCCAACCAACTCTGTCCTGGGCTTCCCTTTCTAGTTCTTTCCAGTTTTTGTTTATTCCTCTCATATCTTTCTCTATTTCTCGGCATAATGTGTTCCTTGGCCTTCCTCTTTTCCTTTTGCCTTGAGAGTTCCAGGTAAGGTCTTGTATCGTGACGCAGTGCTTTCCGTAGTGTGTGTCCTATCCACTTCCACCACTTCTTCCTGATTTCCTCCTCCACTGCAATCTGGTTTGTTTTCTCCTACAGTACGTTGTTGCTGATGATGTCTGGCCAACGAATACGAAGTATTTTGCGTAGACAGCTGTTAATAAACACTTGTATCTTCTGGATGATGGCTTTTGTAGTTCTCCAAGTTTCTGCTCCATACAGTAGAACTATCTTCACATTTGTATTGAAAATGCTGATTTTGGTTTTGGTTGAAAGTTGTTTGGAGTTGCAGATATTTTTCAACTGTAGAAACGCAGCCCTTGCTTTGCCAATCCGCACCCTCACATCTGCATCGGATCCACCTTGGTTGTCGATGATGCTGCCCAGATATGTAAAGGTGTTAAAGTCTTCCGAGGCATCTCCATCAAGAGTGATTTGGTTGGTGCATGTTGTGTTACATCGTAGAATCTTGCTTTTTCCTTTATGTATGTTGAGACCTACTGCTGCTACACTGGTCGTCTTCTCTTGCATTTGTTGTTGCGTGTGAGATAGAAGAGCCCGGGCTTGGGACCTGCAGTTGGCCCCAAAGGTTCTGCTGGCGGAGTTCCTATTCAGTGAAGACGCTGACAAAATGCAGAGGCTTCTGACTACTTTAGGTAACAATGCTAGCGTATTCGGTATGCGATTCTCCTCATCGAAATGCAGTGTTGTTTCAGGATTGACTTGCATCAGCACCTGAACTAGTAATAAGAAGTGAAGTAGTTGATCGTTTAGACCGCCTCACTTATCTCATTAGTGCTTATGTCCTGGTGTCTGAGAGTAGCAGGTACTGATAAATATTAACTCCTGAGATTTTTTTATGGGTGTTGGTCCATTTTTAACAGTTAGATTGACTGCTCGGCGTAATCTTATCTGATCTTAAAAATTAAATGACCATTGAAAAGTAGGTTGGCATTAGACATTCGTTTTATCCTAATATTATATATGCAGTGCACCTGTGTGATGCTTAGCCTAGAGTTCGACCGTTATTGGTAGTTTTGAATGTGTACTTACTAATAAGTGTCATACCATAGAGTACAAACTAACTGTCTCCAATGTCTGCTGGTTTCAAACAGTTGTCTAACTTGAATTAGTTCATGTGATTTCAGCAATCTTCACAAACTAAGGAAAAAAAACTGCTAAACAGTTGGATATATATGGAAGAGTACAAATTACGCATATAAAATATACATCAATGTACTAATATTTATTTAGTTTATAGTTTTTGTAATTTCATCTCAATTGTAAATGTTTCTTCATTGAAGTCATTGACTCTCTTGAATTAATAAAGTATGAAGAGTTGAGATGGTGGAGAAAACTTGTAGCTCAGGTGGATGATTGTGGTGGTGTTTGGTTCTCTGAGCTGGTTGTTTTGGTTGTGGAGCTTTCATTGTTCTTCTGAACGTCATCAGTACAAACTTCAGATAGAAGTGAAGCATTCGAATTTCTCCACGTTTGAACTGTGCTGCTTGTTCTGCTAACCTCGATTTTGATTGGTTGTTGTTGACCTTAAACCTGTCGTTGTTTGCACCTTTGTTTTGATCGCATCTCCCTTTTTATCTGTTTTTTGATCCTATATTTGCCTATGATTTTTCTGATAGAATGATAAATTGGGTCCATGTCAATGTTTTTGTTGATTGCTGACTGACCTGAGTGCGAGCCAAGCTTCT